CCACGCTCAGGAGTGAAATAGCATGGTCGTGGATGCTCAGCGAGGGATTCTCCAGGGGTACTGGTACCCTCCTGGGGTAGTTTATAATTCCGCTACCATGTTGATGGGGGGGGGGGGAATTGGGCATCCGGTCACCTGCACTCACCAGCAGCAGACGAAACGCGGAAGCAGGGCTTCCACTTCACGCCGGTATTCTGTGAGGTCGTGGTACTAACCCGGCTCGAGCCGGCCCATACGTGCAACAGCAAAAGCTGCTGCAAGGCTCTACCACCGTTTCAGCTGCGTCCAGATAGATTAGTAGAGACCTTTTCCATTTTTCACACCTTATAGCCATAGATGTGATATCACATTAAAGTTGATAACGGTATCATTATTATTTTAGGGGCAAACTGAAACAGTTTCTTATATATTTATTTCCAATTTAATGCTGGTATTTTAATACCCTAAGTCCAATTTAATGGTAGTAACTTAGTACCCAAAGTCCAATTTAATGGTAGTAACTTAGTACCCAAAGTCCAATTTAATGGTAGTAACTTAGTACCCAAAGTCCAATTTAATGGTAGTAACTTAGTACCCAAAGTCCAATTTAATGGTAGTAACTTAGTACCCAAAGTCCAATTTAATGGTAGTAACTTAGTACCCAAAGTCCAATTTAATGGTAGTACTTAGCACCCAAAGTCCAATTTAATGGTTGTACCTACCTTAGTACCCAAACTCCAATTTAATGGTGGTATCTTAGTACCCAAACTCCAATTTAATGGTGGTATCTTAGTACCCAAACTCCAATTTAAAGGTGGTATCTTAGTACCCAAACTCAATTTCATGATAATAATATGTTCCATAACACTCGCCCTTCTGTTTCGGTTTATTTGTTATACCGACTACTTCCATTGCTGTGCCATTTAGGCTTTGGGTGAATTCAATACCTATAATGCGCATTTACAGTATTACTAGTTACCTACTATGCAATTTACAGAAGTCGTGAAGTGTCCACGATTTTTTGTTAGACTTATAATATATGTCATGAAAGCGGTAAAATAGTATTTTCATTAAAGGCGATAAATATCACACCTACATGTAAAATGCCTCTAAAATTTAGCTAACGACATTGTATTTCGGTTCGAATCGAGGGGAGTGATCAGTTACATCTACTATTTTTCCATCAAAAATCTTTTTAAATAAAAGTTGTGCTAATAGACATATGTTAAAATAAATCATTATTTTATCATTGCTACATAAAAAAAAATTTTGCACACCTTAAGCATGGTCATATGCGAACATATAATTTATATAAATTATTAAAATGATTAGCACAGGTTTAAAAACAATAAATCATAATTCATAATCCAAAGTATTTTCCGCGGGTACTCTAGGATTTAGTTTACAATTTGCAAATGCAATGCTAATAGTTGCACATTGCTAACTTATTTTTGTTGATATCTTTATACTAAACAGGTACTTACCTTTTTCTCGTCGCCACTTGTATTGTCTGCTATCTTCTCTAATCACTGTAGTGTAACACAGGCTCGGCACGCACTTAACTAAACACGTCCACTCTCGCCCGAGGCTCTCGTGAAACTGACGCGGTGCGCTCGAGACAGTGACTTATATATATATGCAAACACTACAATACAGACACTATATGACTACCATTTAAGCAATATGCCAATTATAAATATAGCAAGAACATCGAAAATTAGGCATCCCGAGAATTAGAAATAGCTTTAAATGTTAATATATAAGATTGTCGATTACACATAGTCCACGAATTTTATTTTCTGTGTACACCAGACGGCTATTCGCAGACCAACCAAGAAAGAAAAACGGAGCGCTGCTTATATTTCAACTGATGCAAAAACCAAGCCAAAACCATGTACACCTTATTGTAAAAAGACGCACTCACGTACATGTATGCATTTAAAATCATTTTCATCCATCAACATGGTTTGAGATGTATATGTGTGCATCCATCAGTAAACTTTTACGGGCTTATAAAGAAAAATGTGTGTGTGAGATCATGTGAACTCACGCACACATCTTTCTTCGGCTTCACTTGAAATGTACGCCTTTCTTCCTTTGTTGTTCTGAGCATGTATAAATTTTGTTATGTTCATTATATAAAATAAAGCGGAAAACTAATTACGTACGTAATTACCTATGTAGTACTTACTCTGAGATGAGAATATAGTCAATGTAATGACATCATAGTTTTTACAGTTTATGTTATTTCTATATTTTCAAATATTAAAAATCTTATTTAACTTAAAATAGTTTTAGGACAATATTATTTAACTATGTAAATGTAGTGAAGTCTAATAATGTCTATATGATGTAGTGATTGGTAAATAATTCCCCAATTGTAATTAAGCCCTGCGTAGACCTTCTATTATCCGTCGATCGGGGAACTCCTTACCGATTAGCAGCACTGTTTTTTGGAACGAAGTTCCTTATCGAATGGTACGGGTTTGGCGAATGGAAGCTAGGCGACAAAAAATGTAAGATTTTTTCGTCACTACCCCTTGTGTCATAGTGTATTTTATTTTAAATGACGCTTCATTTTAATAGACGCAAATAATAAATTTATTTATATTTGTTAATCAATAATATAATACGTTTATCAATAATAATATACTATGAAAAGAACTTCGTTCCAACCGATTGTTCCACGACACTCACGTTTGTTTTTTTTTTATTTACGGTACCTTGAGGATCACCAGCTGATTAGTGACCGCCAATACGGTTTTCGTCGGGGTCGATCAGCTGGTGATCTTCTGGTCTACCTGACCCATAGATGGGCGGAGGCAGTAGAGTCCAAGGGGGAGGCGTTGGCCGTTAGTCTGGACATTGCGAAGGCCTTCGATCGGGTTTGGCACAAAGCGCTTCTTTCGAAGCTCCCTTCCTATGGGCTTCCCGAGAAATTGTGCAACTGGATCACCAGCTTCCTTGCAGATCGGAGTATCAAGGTCGTTGTAGACGGTGCATGCTCTGACTACAAGCCTATTAACGCTGGTGTTCCACAAGGCTGTGTGCTATCACCAACGCTGTTTCTTCTGCATATCAATGATATGTTGCTAACTGGTAACATTCATTGCTATGCGGATGACAGCACTGGTGATGCTCTATACACCGGCCGTGCCAATATTTCTCGGGAAAACGTCGCTGAGTACCGGAACAAACTTGTGTCTGAAGTCGAGTCTTTGCTGAACAAAGTCTCGGATTGGGGGCGACTAAATCTAGTCCAATTTAATCCTCAGAAGACACAAGTTTGCGCATTTACCGCTAAAAAGAACCCCTTTGTCGTATCTCCTCAGTTTCAAGGCACTCCCCTTCTTGCCTCAGCCAGTATCGGTATCCCCGGAGTCGACATATCGAGTGACGTGCAGTTTCGTGGTCACTTGGAAGGGAAGGCCAAATTGGCCTTTAAAAAGCTTGGCGTGCTCAGCAGAGCGGGACAGTATTTCATGCCGGCACACCGCCTGCTACTTTACAAGGCGCAAGTTCGGCCTCACATGGAATACTGTTCCCATCTCTGGGCAGGGGCTCCCCAGTGCCAGCTCCTTCCACTTGACCGCATCCAACGCAGAGCGGCTCGAATTGTCGACGACCGAGCCCTTTCCGATCGGCTCGATTCATTGGCACTGCGAAGAGATGTTGCATCCCTTTGCATTTTCTTTCGCATCTACCATGGGGAGTGCTTTGAGGAATTGTTCGGTTTAATCCCAGCCGCTAAATTTCACGAACGCACATCGCGGCAGAACTCCCGATACCATCCACACCATCTGGATGATTGGCGGTCCACCACTGTGCGATTTAGAAGATGTGTTCTTCCTCGCACGACCTCCTTGTGGAATCGATTACCATCAGCGATTTTTCCGGACCGATACGACTTAGGGACCTGCAAGAAAAGAGCGTACTCCTTTTTAAAAGGCCGGCAACGCATCTGCGATTCCCCTGGTGTTGCAGTTGTTCATGGGCGGCGGTAGTCACTTACCATCAGGTGAGCCGCATGCTCGTTTGCCCCCTCTCCTATAAAAAAAAAAAATTTAAGAGGGGCCAACAAGCATTCGGCTAATGCTATGGTATAGACTGTTTGGACTTTTAGCGGGGTCTTGACTGCCGACGAATCGTTACTCCTTATTATTGTTTCAATAACAGTTTTAAATGATTTTTTGATACATAAAAATTGTGGGTAACGCTGTCGTTGAAGTCTTCTTAAAACTTCGCAATGTGGCACATTAACATAAGAATCATGTGAATAAAGTATACTCGGACTAGTAAACTTTATATTATTGCGTAAGAAAAAAATGGGCACTTAATTAATAATCAAATATGTAATCCCTATCAAAGCGTCTATATATGTATATTATACTCTTTAATCACTACCTTAAGCTAATGTCTATGGTTTTGGTGGGAACTTAACCGGCGGCGGATTGTTGCTCCTGTATCATTGTTTAAATAATGGTTTGAAGTGGAGTTTGATACGTAAAAGTGGTGCGATTTTCTGAATTAAATGTCTGTGCTTGTGAATTATTTAAAACGGTGAAACAAGTGCTCTGATGGTGATGTGAACCTTAAGATAAGGTGTCTGTCTGTTTAGGCGCCTTTAGATACTATTGCCAATTGTCTGCTTGCTCAAGTTGCTGCCAAAATCTCCCAAGGGCTGCGCAATATGACGCATCAACATATTGTGAAGCAGACTACTATAAAGGTTTATTATCACCTGATACTGAGATAAATTATGACATGGCGTAAAATACAAGCCTCCAAGCTAAAAATCTTAATAAAAAAGCTAATGTCAATTGCTATATTGCTAATGACAAAAATGTTATGTCAATGTCAAATACTTCGCTGGCTGGCTCGCAAACATCTCGACTGGTTGGATACCAATTTTTTAGATAATAACCAATATTTTTTTCTTCGCTTAGTTCAAAACACTATCTGTTTAATGATTGATGATATAATTTGATTTGGCAACTAATACGTATTCATAGATACTAAAAATGTCGTTAGAACAAGAAGACGACATTTCTGATTTTAAGGTAAACAATTAAATTTTGATCGTGTAGTGACGTTGTAAGAATCTCTCACTACCCTATATCGTCCCGAGGGTGTCGTAAGAGGCGACCAGGGGGAAACAACCTGGAAGATGGCCAGCAGCGACTTCCTAATAACAACTAAAAAACTAAAAAATCTGCGGTTGTCAAACGTAGCGGCTATGGCAAATATCCCAATGCATTTAGCAGTGGACTTTCATAAGCTATAATGAATGAATGAAATTAAACTTCATGGTAATAATTTAATTATTTATGATAACAATTTCACTACTGACAACCGATAGGTAAGAAAGGTTCTCGAGTGGCAGCCTCGAGTAGTAAGCGAAGTGTATGATGGCCCCCATAATACTAGGACAAACGGCAAGCAAAATATAAAAAAATTAGTTCTCAATATGTTACAGATACCACCAATATTCGAAGATTTAAACGAGCGTGTGAAAGAATACTTATTAAAGCCCGAGAGGCTCTCTATACATAAATGGGAAAGATCTCAGACACATTGGCATAGAAAAAGTGATATTGATTCACTTGTTAAATTTGAAGATGATGAAATTGGCATTGATACTACACTTGAAGTAAGTTGTTTTTAATAATGGTTTTATTAATCAGCTATCGAATTTGAGAGGCCTTGTAAAAGAACAGCAAGCATTAAGTATGTAAGTTTTTAAATTAAAATAATATACAAAAAATTATTGACTGGATCTTCCTACCTATCAGTTTTCAAACCAAATCTCAAATTAAAAAAAAAGGCTTAGAATATCCCAATAGATATACAGGTAAGATTTATTGGTTAAACTATAGACATCCGGTACTCGCATACTGCGGTGGGAGGGAGAGGGGGGTGGGTTCAGGGAAAGCCTCCCTTACCCTTCCCCCGTTGCGGAAATGTATAGTTTATGAGTATTCTGATTTAGTTTTAGTACAAATTTGATCTATCTTATCTATAAAGTCAGGTTTCCCTAAACTCTGCTATGATAGTGGTGAATGAAACAATGTAATTTTAAATCAAATAAGTTCAAAAACAGAGCAGAGGACGTCGAAAAAACAGGGAAAACACAAGAGAGAACATTCGTGTGACCACTAGAGAAACAGAATGACAATTGACATTTGACACCATAGATAATATATTATATTTGACATTTATGGTTGCCCAAATTATGGCCGTCAACACCGTCCCGTTTCACACTTTTTTACATCGATTATTGACATCTAATCTCATAACACTGTACAAAATGTCATTATGTCACATTTCGTTATACGGAATTTTTAATGAAATTTATTTTTATCGTAATTAATTCAAAACTCATTACCGACATTCAAAAACAGTGTAAAAGGTTCATGCTTAGCCCAGACAAGCCTTCTAAACTGAAAACATAATTAAAATCAAGTACCGGATATCTATAGCCAACCCGATCCATTTAAATCCAAAATTAAATTTGTCATTCTTTAATTAAAAAGTATCTAATTAAGCTTCTTGGGTTATGCACAAGATTGTCCCTAAAACTAGTAAGAAAAATAACTTCAATGGTAATATCCCCTTGTAATTTTCAAGCTTCATATTGGCAGAGTATCATCGGTTACACAAGGAATTCATTTTTCTTTCTAAATAAGAAAAAGCGGAATAAAGAGTTAACTATAATTAATCTGTCTGAAGTATTTTATGCTTATATGTTAATTAATACTCACACACTCTTATCATAGATAATTGTTACATCTTCATCAGATTGGCAAGTTCGACCACACAGCTAATAGAGTTGTTTAATATGGGTAACTCAAATTTTTTATTATATCTATGACTATTATATATATTTTTGTTAGCAGGAATGCTCAATTTTTATTATAATAATCTTCGATCAACAATACCAACTACATAACGGGTCACATACAAAATCATAGCTAAATGCTGTCCGCGTGAATATATACTTATACATCTACATTTGTTTACTAAAGAACTGAGACAAAAAATTAAAACAGTTTTATGTTCAACCCAATTACAACCATGGAAACTAGTAATAAAGTCACAAATCTTACGATCATTAGTTACAAAAGAGGAACAAATCAATGCATTACTCATGTCACTTGGAAATGAAAAGACATAGGTCAAATAACATTTCGTGTGAAATCAACCTTTAGTAATTACAAATTAAAGTATTTTTTCCTGTTATTGCCTTGCAAGCTATGTCGTTTTGTTTCGTTGCTATTTGCTTCTTTGAATTGTGCTACAGTTTAGTTATAGGGAGTTGCATTGAACACTAAAATAATTTACAATTTATGATCATAAGTTTAGTAGAAGATTCTATACATGGTAGAGCCATGCTGCAGCTATATTAGTAGTATAGTTGTAGCACGAATGGGTCAGCTCGACCGGGGACGGACTACACTCTCACAGAATACCAGCGTCAAATAGCAGTTTAACACTGCTGTGTTTCGTATGGTGAGTGTAGAGAACCGGAGACCCTTTTTACTGGAAAAGAGGCATTCCATCTTAGTCCTCATGGGTGACAACGCATCTGCATTTTGATTCGCAAATGAGGATAAATGTAGATGTTTATGGGCCACAGCGACCACTTACCATCAGGTGGACTGTGTGCTCGTTTGTCAGCCTATACTATAAATATAAAAAATTAAAAAGTTAAAATTATGTATGTTTGGGCATTTATCTGTGTTGTTATACATATTTTCCACACTAGCCATTAAATATAATATAGTATGTAGTATAATGATTGGATTTAATTAGATAATTGAATATATATTTATTTTACTTTTTGTATGTATATATGTTTGTAGTATATATATTATATATATAAATACAGTGGACCCCCGGTAATCCGGCACCCCCTGTAATCCGACATGTTCTATTATTTATTATTAAATATTTTTTGATAATCTTCGCAAATGCATGATTGAACAAGTTATAACTTGTACGCACCACCACTATTATGCTCGACGCGTAGGGTATTGTTTTGAATTTTAATTTACTAAATTTGACATATATAATGAAGCATAATTTTTACTTCAGAGTACTTATATATAATATATACAATCTCATCATTGGATCTAGAATTTATCGGATTACAAGGTACTCTTTTATAAAAAAATCCGGATTATAGGAGGTCTTAGGCAGTACTCTATAATCCGACAAATTCGATAGTCCGATACTGCCCTGCAAAATGTTTGTCGGGTTACCGGGGGTCCACTGTATGTGTATTCTTTTTTATCTCACCAATTTGCCCTACCCCTGTTATCTTCGTGTATTCCTATTGATTCATTGGTTGGCTCAAAGAAGTTGCTGTTAGGAATAAGACCGGCCATTGCATACTTCTTTGTGTTGGTGTGCAATAAAGAATAATAAATAAATAAAATACTTATTAATTTAAGGTTTGGTGTATAATATGATTATTTAATTTATCAGTGTTTTTGTGTCGTAAACAAAAAGTAATAAAGTGTAAGTACGCTTTTTGTTTTTCAAATGTATGTAATGTCAGCGGCTGGCAAAGGTGTCTGGATAGCTGAATGTTACAAACGAAAATATCACTAAATTCCACACACATATATATATATATACTCTTTAAAATATTTATAATAGAAGTAAATTTCAGTACAATCAATAAAACAAAAATCCAAATATTTACAACGATTCAACATTAATGATTTTTCTTTTCTGCTTATACATGAATTAATTTCCTTTAAATAATTTGAGTTTGTTGTACAATTGTCGTTTTGATTTATTTTCGATGACACAAACAGAGACAAAAGTAGCAATTACCATTATTTAAAGTTCTGGTAACAAATTACTAAAAATGATTACGATACAAATATACTCCATGCATTTACTGTTCTGTTTCACAAATATTTACGCGTGTATTGGCCAACCTTGGCAAAACATTTGTAGGGGTGCATTAAAATCGGTAATTTTGTTTCAAATATGATATTATTTGTTAGTTTAGAGCTTAAAATATAACTTATTCTACATGTACTTAACGAAAGTAAGACACTCCGGCCGTTAAATTGCTTTTTCGGGCATTATTCTTGCAACTTTTAAACACACATTGTGGCATTGTGAAACGTGTTTACATTGGCTGTATTTCAAGTCAACTAAATGACATAAGAGCTCACGTCTACAGTGCGCTCTTATTTACTTGGACGAATTTTTTGCGCCGACCCGACATCTAGTTGGGTATTGTTGATCGAAGATAATAATACAATTTTTTTAGGTATGTAATTTACAAGTTATATCAAAGAAAATCTTGATGTTGTAGGTTATTCGAAATCCCATAACAGGGGAAATTGAGGGTGTAGAAGAAGTAAGCATACCAGTAGAAGATGATGATGATAGTTTATCAATGGCTCGGGCACCATTACCACCTAGCCTTGCCACTAGAGGGACGACAACACAGAACCCTTTTCTACCAGCTGGTTTTGAAGAGGAATTACAGAAAATGCTAGAGGAAGCAGCACAATGTGGAGAAATAAATATAAATCTAGAAGATGATGAACCTGGAAAATTTTTGGGAGAAGGTATTTAAACTTTAGGTTACTCGGAGAATACTACACTTAATTTTCTTTTAAAACCTGATAGTCTTAAAACATTCATTAAAAATAATTGACAGTACTTTCAAAGTAACATACAATATACCTCTCACATTTTAAAATTGTTTCCTATTATGATGTTAATATATTTGTGCATTCTTTATAGAAATTTTAACAATTCCTCCTGGGAGTAAAGAGAGTGTTGTTTTTGCCAATGATGGTTTTACTTTACTCAATAAAGACCTCAATATTGAGGAACAAAGAGTTGCAGAGAAAGATCTGGATACATTGGTTAAAATAAACCTAGAAGAAGTGGTAGATAATAATGTGCATTTAGTAGGTATGTAACCAATTTTAATTCAATATTTATGATTTCTAGTTCAAAGTAGGTGATAAATAAAATAAATTTTTGGTAGATTTTTGGAAAGATGAAGATGAAACTGAAACAAAACCTATCAAAGTGAAAGAAAAGCCCAAAAATATTGAGCTGGACAGTGACACTACTGAGAGTGATAATTTCCTGGAAAACACCATCATTCAACCTCCAGTTGAGTTACCAGAGATCCCAGTATTAAATATCACTAGTTCTAAGGGAAGATTAGCCGTCACATCTACTGAGTGGGCAGAGATGATCGATGTCACCCTTCCAGTGCCAGACTTTAGAGAAAAAATCAAGGACATGGCACATACATATCCATTTGAATTAGACAATTTCCAGAAGCAGGTAAATTATATTAAGTCAGGTTAAAAAAATTTTGCGATAAATGGGCGAAACAGTTAACTTTTTAATTTAAACACTTATGAGCAATTTTTCATATTGTTCGTTTTTTTAATGTTGCCTGTCTCACATGACTGTTAATAAAACATTCCATCTTAGTCTTCAGGGGTAACAATGCTTCTACATTTTGATTTAAAATTAAAGATAGATGTAGCTTACGTCCACGCAAGTGTCCATGGACCATAGATTAAAACTGTGCAGGATTCGAACCTAATAGCTAAATGCTTATCCACTATTGAGTGGTTATATTCTTGCAAACTTCATATAAAAGAACAAAGGAGTTCATATAAAGGAACAGAGGCAGCATGCCTTGTCTGATTATGTATTTGTTTGGTTACGTCTGATCTCTCTTAGTTTCTGAAGTGTTTTAATGGGAAATGCTAAAAAGATCATATGGATTTCAATACAAGGCAAAGGGCAGCGTTAAAAGTACAAGACATTTGTTTTACTTGTTTTATGTTATTCATTTTGTAGGCTATCATTAAACTGGAAGAAGGTCACCATGTTTTTGTGGCAGCACACACTTCAGCTGGAAAAACTGTGGTAGCGGAATATGCTATTGCGATGTCCAGGAGAAATTGTACAAGGTAAATTGACAAACAACTGCACAATTTTATAAATTTATTTAATCAGCATGTCACTTTACACTATTGGATAAAAACCTCGCGTAATGTAGTTAGGATTTATAAATATAACCAGGCCAGTATCAGATGTCTTAACCCTCTAACTCTGAATTATATCATCAGTCTAGGTATTATACATCTGGCATATGCGAGATTGTTATAATACGTGGTAGAGCCATGCTGCAGTTATATTAGTAGTATAGTTGTAGCACGAATGGGTCGGCTCGACCGGGGAAGGACCACGCTCTCACAGAATACCAGCATAAAATAGCAGCTTAACCCATTCACTGCCTTCCTAAGAAATGCCAACATTACCCCCATGCCGTCTTATACTGGTATTCAGCCCGCCCATCGGCGGGCCCGGCATCAACAAATTATCTTGACCCGCCCATCGGCGGTTTCGGCATGAGGCCTTAGATTTCGACGTGAGATATTTTTAATGACTATATGTCCTGTGAATTGCGTAGAGCGTGTTTGCGTATATTTTTGTGTTATTTGTGGAAACAATTGTGCCAGTTACATTTGTTATTATTGTTACTAACCAAATTATTAATGGAGTGTGAAGGTAAGGTAAAACATTCAGCTAATTCAATTAAGACGAAGCCAATGTATCTTAATCTGCGTATAAGATAGATTTAAGCACGTACTTAGTACAAGGAAATCTAAAATGAAATATAAAAGCATACATTTTAGGGCTTTTCTTTAAGTCATGCATAGTCAACCTTTTTGTATGTTTAATTTTTTCCAACGTCTTACCTCTTTTGCATTAATTCTTACTTTTGAAGGAAATATTCGTTCACAGATAGGAATTATAGGCAGAGGAGATAGTCTCAACTTGATGCACACGAACAGCAAACGAACTTCCAAAACACTCAGCAAAACTCAAGTTGTGAAAACCACGAACGTTAAGATGCGAGTGAAAGCTTTTTTTCGTAGACAATTTTTTTCTATAATATGTTACTTACGTTAAATCATAAATCATGCAAATTGTAAAATTATTGGTGTCCATAACAAAAGGTTCATCGGCACTTCTCTTGCTTTCAAAGTGACTATTACCGACCGGCTCCTTTTGTTCAGATCACCATCTGCATTCTTATCTTGTTTCCTATTTACCGACAGTTTATGATCTTATCTGTATTAAACCACAATCAGAAATAGGTCATTAGCCAAAATTAAATCATAAATCATACCGAAAAATTATATATGGTCGGTGACCAAAACAATGTTTTTTTTTTATAGGATATGGGCGACAAACGAGCACACAGTCCACCTGATGGTAAGTGGTTGCTGTGGCCCATAGACATCTACATTTATCCTCGATTACGAATATCAAAATGTCAAGATGCGTTGTCACCCGTGAGGACTAAGATGTAATGCCTCGTTTCAAGTAAAAAGGGTCTCCGGTTCTCTACACTTACCATACGAAACACAGCAGCATTAAGCTGCTATTTTACGCTGGTATTCAGTGAGAGCGTGGTCTTTCCCCGGTCGAGCTGACCCATTCATGTTACAACTATACCAGAAATATAGCTGCAGCATGGCTCTACCACGTATGGTGGTGTCGGCACTTTGTCCGTTTTCAAAGTGACGAATACCAATCGGCTCCTTTGATGTAGATCATCATCAGCATTCTTATCTTACTTCCTAGTTACCGACAGCATATTGCCTTATCTAGAAGGTGTTACAAAAACCGGGTAATCCTCTTAGGAAGTGATTCTATTGCTCAAAAACAACAGCTTCTTCTATGGGACCTATATCGAAATCTAAAACAAAACACAAAAAAACCACAAACTCGTCTCAGCTGATCGGCCGTTTAGTATGGGCAAGTAATTTTTTTTGAGATTTCGATGTAGGCCCCATAGTAGAAGTAGTATTTGAGCAATAAAATCATTACCTAAAAGGATTACCCGCTTTTTTGTAACAGCTTGTATAATGTTACGGTTTTATAGTTTTAATAATAAGGTACAAAGAACAATAAAGTTTATATTTTATTATCATTACATGCAAATATACTTTATTATATAGTTTTTGATTAAAATTTTAACAAAAGGTTTGTTAATTCCGAATACGCGTACTGCCCGCCCATAGGCGGGGTCGCATGACAGGTCAGAATTGTCCTTTTATAAAATCTTAGATATCCGCAGGCCGTTTTGGTAACGAATCAATCATAATAAAGCGAGTTATTAGACAAAATCTTATAATTTTTTCATGTATATTTGGCATACTTATTAAGGTTTGAAATTCGCCCGCCCATGGGCGGGCTCGTCATGTGAATAAAAAAGCTTTGCCTGCCCATGGGCGGGCAAGGCACTGAATGGGTTAATGCTGCTGTGTTTCGTATGGTGAATGTAGAGAACCGGAGACCCTTTTTACTGGAAATGAGGCATTCCATCTTAGTCCTCACGGGTGATAACGCATCTGCATTTTGATTTGTAATAGAGGATAGATGTAGATCTGTTGTAGATTGTCTATGGGCCGCAGCAACCACTTACCATCAGGCAGACTGTGTGCTCGTTTGTCAACTTTATCCTATAAAAAAAAGCTATCTATCAAAGGCCATAAAATCTTCCTCATACTTCCCTTGGTCCATGTATAAAATATGATGATTAATTATCTTAAAATATAAACAGGTAATCACTAACTGACTGTGAATCCGCCACCTTTTCACCTTTTATGTTCTTTGTCGGCTGCTGAGTCCCTCTTTTATCAAATATATTATATTGTATAAAATGCGTTGTAAGGCTTTTTATATCTAACCTAAATCACTTACTCATAATTCATCACTATCTACACCGTTTCATAAAATCACCAAGCTTGTGATTTTTTAAACCAATTTTCCATAATGGGTAATGTAATGAAATTTCACTAGATACTATTTATCTAATCATCATCACCATTACAGCCAACCACATATCTACAGCTGGACATAAGTCTCAACCAACGAAACCACAAGTTGTGGTCTTAAACTCTTGTACATGCAGGTGATGTCACCAAGGTGTAGAACTTCTTTCCTCTTATCTATTTCTGCTGCCAAGTTGTAATGTTGTCTTCCAATTCCAAAGTTAAGAATGCCAGTATAATTAAAAAATATATTTTCTGTACTATACTTGCCAGTACAAGTTGCCACTTGATAACTCTTTGTTACTGGTGTTTCTTGTTTTTCTCTCTAGTTTTTATTAATTAGCATAAATGAACCCATCATTTCATTTCATACCATGGGTACCGTAAAAGACGACTGTAGGAATTGCCAGAAAGGCACCATGACCAACATTAGTTAGCAGTTTGCCATTTTACATTGGGCGTATACAAGAGTATACACTAAATGTAAAATAGAAATACCCATACTGACAACAGGAAGCAATGTCTAGTTGAGTATATGATACATGGCAACTTGCTACAATGGGAAAGACCTATGTACAACATTGAACAATAACAGGCTGATAAAGAAAATTATTTAATGATATTATTAAAATATTAATCTATTATAATTTTGATCCCTAGAGCAATCTACACTTCGCCGATCAAAGCTTTGTCAAATCAAAAGTACAACGATTTCAACAAAATGTTTGGTGAGGTGGGCCTACTGACTGGTGACCTCCAGATCAACGCAACCGCTCCCTGTCTAGTTATGACCACAGAAATTTTGCGCTCCATGTTGTATTGCGGTTCGGACGTCACAAGAGATCTCGAGTTCGTAATATTCGATGAAGTACATTATATCAATAATGCAGAGGTATTATTGTTTTAAATTTAATTTTTACTTTCTATACAGGGTTATTTTCCCAAAGAGTATCCAAATTTTATATTTAAGTTCGAATATATAAATAATGATATACCTTTCTTGCATTTTTTGAAAATACGTGTAAATAAGGCTCTCTTTTATTTGAAATTATCCCAAATTGAACGTGATTTATGGGCAATAACTACGCGTACGCACGCTCCTCTGTCTGCTATTCAATTCACAATGTTTGTTTTGCCAACCGAGCGATCCTTATGAATGTGTACGTGCGTAGTAAAATAGTAGGCGTTAGTTATTTATGTATGACAATCAATTAAAATAATGCATTATCACCCATTCTGAATTTAAAATATAAAATGGACAAGATTGATTTTTTTAATTAATTTTCTTCACCATTCGCCTATATTACTTAATCTGAACCTTGTCTGCAAATTCGGACGTATATAGCAAAATAACTCTGTATAAATACATTTATTATTCTAAGTTAAAACTCCGCGTGGCTCGTGTTGCTAGAAACCATGTGCATAATCTAAGAAGGCGTCAACATCATCATCAGGGTGGCTGTAAGCCTTTCATAGGTCCACTGCTGAACATAGGCCTCCCCCAAGGAATGCCACAACGTGATACTGAGTATAAGGTACGCAACCCTCGTCGACACACTCTCAATCTTTACAACGTTGTTAACGAGAGACTTGTGGACGATAAATCCGACACCTCCTTGGGACAGATGGTCGCCCTCCCGGTGATAGAACAAGTTGCTGGATTCGAGGATTACCGTATCCTCCCCTCTCTTCGGACTTCGGATAATTCTATAATATGCCAGCGTAACTTGTCTATATCTTCTTCCAGCTCCACGATCTTCTCGTCAGTCCTCAGGGTGCGTGCGTTGTATGTTGCCAGGTCGAGTCGTCTTAGGTGGCAACCGAACCTCCACCGTAGATTCTTAGCACCCCCTAAAAAGGCGTGCGGGGGACCAAATGGGGACCGAGATCTTAGACCACATGTTACCTAGTATTTACACTGGCGAAAAGTCCACATCTCTTCTATTTATGGCACTGCGAAGAGATGTTGCATCCTTTTGCATTTTCTTTCGCATCTACCATGGGGAGTGCTCTGAGGAATTATTCGGATAAAACCCAGCCGCCAAATTTCACGAACGCACATCGCGGCAGAACTCCCGATACCATCCACACCATCTGGATGATTGGCGGTCCACCACTGTGCGATTTAGAAGATGTTTTCTTCCTTGCACGACTTCCTTGTGGAATCGATTACCATCAGCGATTTTTCCGGACCGATACGAATTAGGGACTTTCAAGAAAAGAGCCTACTCCTTTTTAAAAGGCCGGCAACGCATCTGCAATTCCCTCCCTGGTGTTGCAGTTGTTCATGGGCGGCGGTAGTCACTTACCATCAGGTGAGCTGCATGCTCGTTTGCCCCCACTCTTATAAAAAAAATATTTTATAATTTATTTTATGTGTATAATTCCAGCGCGGCTATGTGTGGGAAGAAGTGCTAATATTGTTGCCGGCTCACGTGAGCATAGTCATGTTGAGCGCGACTGTACCCAATACTTTACAATTTGCGGATTGGGTTGGACGAACTAAAAAACGAAAAGTCTACGTCGTGTCCACACCCAAGCGGCCTGTGCCACTCTGTCACTATTTATACACAGGTATTTTTAATTTACTACCTGATGCTTAAATTTGTAATTAAACATTTATCATAAATTGTTAAAACCTTTGTTTTATCAGCAGTACATTTTTGTTTAATATAATTATATATACATAATCTTTGATGAAAGATGCATTAATACTTGTAATAATATACATATAAAAAGCATGCATAAAACAAGAATGGCTTGTGTTAGTGGTGACACAAGAGAATGCGTCACTCCATCTTATACCAGCGTAAAATAATAGCTTAAAACTGCTGTTTCGTATGGCGGGTGAAGAGAACCGGAGATACTTTTTACTGGAAAAGAGACATTCCATCTTAGTCCTCACGGGTGACAACGCATCTGCATTTTGATTCGCATATGTGGATAGATGTAGATGTCTATGGGTCTCAGCAACCACTTACCGTCAGGTGGACTGTGTGATCGTTGGTCACCCTATCCTATAAAAAATATATTGAGTAGTTGTCGGGAGAGGCAGCTATAGGAAATGCTCAAAAAATTATGAAGCCTCCAATACATGCCGGTATAACCATCCCTCGTCAGATGTAAAATAAAAAACATGCATGAGTGTCGTGGAACACTCGGATGGAACGAAGCTGCTTCCGTAGTATATTATTATTGATTAACAAATACAAATAAATTAATTACTTGTGTCTATTAAAATGAATGGTCATTTAAAATAATATTTCTTTCATGGCAAGATAAGAAAAAGTGCGAGGGTCTTATTATTCCATTTCGCTTCCTTATAGCCGCCAAGGCCATCTATATTACGTCAGAAGGGGTCGTTATGGAAAAATCTTACACTTTTTCTCGCCTAGCCCCCATCCGCCAAATTCATACCGTCCGATAAGGAACTTCGTTCCAAAAACTTTTTCAATGTCGTTAAAGTTGACTGAAATAATGTATCCCCTTACTGGTAACAGAAAAAAACTAGTCCAAACCAGGTACTAATGACAGTTATGGGGAACAGCATCTAAGGTACAAAGCGTCTAGTACGCTTAACGTGTCGATAACAACAAAACCTTGCAATTTGGCAGATTAATAGTATGCTCTACGGTACACTCCTAAGCTCACTATAATGGTGTTTTGTTTTTTTTCTCATCATAATTGTATCCAAAGTTAATTTCACCGCTGTACGCTTCCTCAAAGACTACAGTGCAGATCCACCTGCTTCCATTGACTCCCTGTATATCACATAAAGTCTTACAAATTGTTAATTTGACATGGTTTTGAAAATATCAGTAATAGTAACGCCATACATAATTAGTCATTCCTTGCTTGGATTTACATAATAATATATTGTTTCAGGTTCGGGCGGTAAATCGAAAAATGAAAGGTTTATGATAGTTGACCAAGAAGGTAACTTTTTACTTAGAGGATATAATGAAGCAGTCGCCGCTAAAAAAGCCCGAGAGAATGAATACAAGAAAAGTTTCGGGCCTAAAGGTATAAATTACTATTTTATCTTTTAAACCACATCCAACTGTAAGATGCAGTAATATTAGAGTTATATTCATATTTGATTGTGAATGTAATCTCTATTATATAAGGCACAAGAAAATGTCAATTAAAAAGAGCGTAACGCTGCGTAAAAGAACACATTGTTGACGTAAAATATCGTCGCTCCATGAAACCTGATTTTGATTAGAATATCCTCACAATTACGACAGATTTGATAAGTTAAAAAAAAAAGCGGCCAAGTGCGAGTCGGACTCGCCCATGAAGGGTTCCATAGCAGCAAGTAACATAATTTTACGATTTATGACGTATTAAAAAAATACTTACTAGATTTCGCTCAATCCAATTTTCGGTGGAAGTTTACATGGTAATGTACATCATATATTTTTTTTAGTTTTACCATTCTCTTATTTTAGAAGTTGCAGGGGGGACACACACATTTTACCACTTTGAAAGTGTCTGTCGCCCAAACTTTTCACTTTAGAAAAAAATGATATAAGAAACCTCAATATCATTTTTGAAGACCTATCTATAGATACCCCACACGTATGGGTTTGATGAAAAAAAATTTGAGTTTCAGTTCAAAGTAACCCCCAAAATTTATTGCTTTATTTTTTCTATTTTTGTGTGAAAATCTTAATGCGGTTCACAGAATACATCTACTTATCAAGTTTCAACAGCATAGTTCTTATAGTTTCTGAAAAAAGTGGCTGTAACATACGAACGGACAGATAGACAGACATGACGAATCCATAAGGGTTCCGTTTTTTGCCATTTGGCTACGAAACCCTAAAGATCAAGCCAAAAAACACCTACTGCTGCTGAGTATGGTTCACAAGGTCATTGAAACAATAAAAAATTCGTAACTCAATTATTATTATTAAAAGATATTAATAAAAGAGGCACTGGCAATTAATTGCAAGACTGTGTACATTCATTCATACATGCATACATACACTTAAAACTCGTTAAAGCGTGTTAGCCTTCCCGCCTACCCTTCTATAAAAAAGTAGATTGGATCAAAATTGTTAATTAATAGCTTAATCTGTGTGTGGTCCTACTAGTTATTTTTTTATTATAGGAGTGGGGGCAAACGAGCATGCGGCTCACCTGATGGTAAGTGACTACCGTCGCCAATGAACAACTGCAACACCAGGGAGGGAATTGCAGATGCGTTGCCGGCCTTTTAAAAAGGAGTGGGCTCTTTTCTTGAAGGTCTCAAGGTCGTATCGGTCCGGAAAATTCGCTAATGGTAATCGTGCTTCCATAAGGAAGTCGTGCGAGGAAGAAAACAATTTCTAAATCGCACAGTGGTGGACCGCCACTCATCCAGATGGTGTGGATGGTATCGGGAGTTCTGCCGCGATGTGCGTTCGTGAAATTTGGTGGCTGGGATTAATCCGAACAATTCCTGAGAGCACTCCGTGGTAGATGCGAAAGAAAATGCAAAGGGATGCAACATCTCTTCGCAGTGCCAATGAATCGAGCCGATCGGAAAGGACTCGGTCGTCGACGATTCGAGCCGCTCTGCGCTGGATGCGGTCAAGTGGAAGGAGCTGGCACTGGGGAGCCTCTGCCCAGAGATAGGAACAGTATTCCATGTGAGGCCGAAGCTGCGCCTTGTAAAGTTGCAGGCGGTGTGCCGGCATGAAATACTGTCCCGCTCTGCTGAGCACGCCAAGCTTTTTAGAGGTCAATTTGGCCTTCTCTTCCAAGTAACCACGAAACTACACGTCACTCGATATGTCGACTCCGAGGATTCCGATACTGGCTGAGGCAAGAAGGGGAGTGCCTTGAAACTGAGGAGATCCGACAAAGGGGTTCTTTTTAGCTGTAAACGCGCAAACTTGTGTCTTCTGAGGATTAAACTGGACTAGATTTAGTCGCCCCCAATTCGAGACTTTGTTCAACAAAGACTCGACTTCAGACACAAGTTTGTTCCGGTACTCGGCGACCTTTTCCCGAGAAATATTGACACGGCCGCTGTATAGGGCATCACCAGTGCTATCATCCGCATAGCAATGAATGTGTCCAGTTAGCAGCATATCATTGATATGCAGAAGAAACAGCGTTAGTGATAGCACACAGCCTTGTGGAACACCAGCGTTAATAGGCTTGTAGTCGGAGCATGCACCGTCTACAACGACCTTGATGCTCCGATTTCCAAGGAAGCTGGTGATCCAATTGCACAATTTCTCGGAAAGCCCATAGGAAGGGAGCTTCGAAAGAAGCGCTTTGTGCCAAACCCGATCGAAGGCCTTCGCAATGTCCAGACTAACGGCCAACGGCTCCCCCTTGGACTCTACTGCCTCCGCCCATCTATGGGTCAGGTAGACCAGAAGATCACCAGCTGATCGACCCCGACGAAAACCGTATTGGCGGTCACTAATCAGCTGGTGATCCTCAAGGTACCGGATGAGCTGGCAGTTAATAATGGATTCCATTATTTTGGAGAACAAGGAGGTGATCACGATAGGCCTATAGTTGGATGGGTCTGAGCGGTCGCCTTTTTTAGGGATCGGGCGGACAAAAGCTGTCTTCCATGAATTCGAGACTACGCCTTGGGAGTAGGAGTACCGGAAAAGACGTGTTAGGACCGGTGCCAACTCCGGAGCACACGTCCTCAGCACAATTGGGGGGATTCCGTCAGACCCACTGGACTTCTGGATGTCCAAGGAGAGGCGTGCTTTGCGAACCGAGCGCTGTGAGAACAGCACATCCGGCATGGAGCACTCACACCGCGAGATGGTCGGCGGTGTTTTTCCTCCGTCATCAAGAGTTGAGTTAGACGCAAAAAGGGAGCCTAAAATGTCGGCTTTGTCTATTGCGGCATGGGCAGTGAGTCGTCCTCCCTGTGCAGAAATGGTAGTGATGGCTTACAGAAATTCCCTTGGACAGCCTTGGCGAGAGACCAGAATGCACGGGTTCCCGAAGGAAGGCGACCTAGTTTCTCGCCAATTCTGCCTATGTGCTCTGACTTTGCCTTGGCAATAACTCTTTTGAAGGACCTGGAGGCGAAGTTATACTTCTTTTTATGTGTGCAGTCTTACAGGAGCGACCAAACGAAGGCTAAGATCTGCCTCCGATGGGTACCACAGATGATGGAATAAATAGTTCCATTCCCTGTAGCACCACATCAGTGACAGAGTTAGCAACAGCGCTGGGATCATCCGGCGAGAAGTAAACCCGCCCCCATGGGTAGGAAGCAAAGAAAGACCGCATTCCGTCCCAATTCGCCGACCTGTAATGCCAAACACGCCGGCAAACTGCAGAACGCAACCGCGAGGAGAGCGTGAGTGGCACGACACTCCGGATCAGACAATGGTCCGAAGAGCCGAGACGGGCATCGATGGAAACCTGATATCCGTCCGGATGAGAGGTCAGCAGAAGGTCCAACAGGGAAGGTGTATGATTCTCCACATCTGGAATCCGCGTAGGCGAAGTAACCAGTTGTGTCAGACCATATGCCAAGGCAAAGTCATAACCAGATCTCCCCGCATGATCGGTTAAACGTGAGCCGAGCCATTCGGCGTGGTGGGCGTTAAAATCGTCAAGGATCACGATCTCTGCGGATGGGACCTGCTGTAGCAAGGAATATGTAGCCATTTGGACGTGGTCGATGAGTCGGTCTGTTTCGGCATTACAGCTATGGGACCTCTAGAGCCACCTGTAGACGCGCGGATGGTCGTCGCTGTCTACGCGTAGCGAAAGGATGGATAGGTCCGAACCTTCAAGACTGCCGTCGTCGAGAACAGATGTCCTCTCTGACATACACGCAAACTCCAGCCCCAGGCCCAAAGTAGTGCTTCAATTTGTACCCCGGGCAGGAGAGATACGAAGTATCAGCCGGAGAGGACACCTGCGTCTCGGTCAGAAAGAGCAAGGCCGGCTTCGCCGTCTCGAGATGGTAGTGCACGGCGTTTAGGTCCCCTGATGTTGCAGAAATTCATGGATAGCGTGGCAGGGGTCGCCTTGGTATTGTTGCTCAGTTTGCCACGAGCAGTTATGTTTTTGAGCGGAAATTTACGCTACCATGTTGATGGGGGGGGGATTAGGCCTCCAGCCACCTGCACTCACCAGACGAAACGCAGAAGCAGAGCTTCTACTTCACGCCGGTATTCTGTGACGTCGTGGTACCAACCCAGCTCGAGCCGGCCCATACGTGCAACAGCAAAAACTGCCGCGTGGCTCTACCACCGTTAAGTCCACATCGGTATTGCACATACCTCCTTTGTAGAACTGTCAGAACAATTGATTTTTCAATGTTATTTATAATTATTATACAACTAAAATTCTAAAAGTTTTATTAGAATTAGTCTCGTTACTAAATTACGAGAAATAAATTATGAGAAAATATTTCAAATGACGACCTTCCGCCATTATGCGACTTTACTTTTAGAACTACGTCGACTTCGCAGGTCGATGTAGACTACATCATCATCATTCTAAACGGTGTGCCAAGTACTACATCATGTAGTATTTGACACACCGTGTATACAGCGTAGTTACAGAATCATTTAATTTCTGAGATTTGTTTTACCAGATTTCTGCCTTAAAGTTGCCAAGTTATTTGAAAACCTCGAAAATGGGATTATTCACCTATTGATGTTGTATCGATCCATTAATTTTAAAATACTATGTTGTTTTTTTACTAATGAAATAATTCTTTAACAGCGCTATCTACACAGTGTGTGAAGTACTACATCGACCGGTGAAGCCGACGTAGTATATTTAATGGTATATTCAATGCCGCATAGGTTCCATACAATAGTTGACAGAGCCTGGTTTTGAGAACCAAAAAAAATTATTGATCTTGGCCTGACCACTGGTACTACAATGTTGGTCCGATATAATGTCGGAATCTGAGAGGTTAATACAGTCCATGTTAGTTATCACATCAAGATGTCATCTTAGGTTTGTCAGGGAATCCTCCCCTGTGATATTTAAAGGTTTATTATTATTCTATTTGGAGGTACTTGTTTACTTCGTCTATTAAGAGGAGGAAGTCTTTTCTTCATACAGACGCTCTCGCCCGTTTTCTTTCTAGTTTATGACCGTATAGCAATGGGTTTTACAGTAAAATAAATATCAACCTCTTCTATGTCCCTACGTTTTCCTTTTTTATGGTACATTATCTTTATAAGCACTAGAATCCTTACAAAATGCTCAAAATTGCCTATTTAGACTGCTGTCAACAGAGACCTAGTGTTCAAATTTAATAATTAATATTAAAAAACGAAAAACGTAGGGACACAGTGTATCTCTTATTCAGTTTATGAAATATCTTTTATAAATTGGTACAATATTAGAGGAGGAAATGGCGGACTTAAGCTATTCAGTCGGATCTGCAGTTGTCCTTATCGGTCGCCGAGCACTCGCAGAGCGACACCAATAGATTTTTCAAATACCTAATTTTCAAAAGTCTCTCGGCCTCTTATTAAAGTAAATTTAATGTAGATAATTTGATATTCACCTATTACACAGACAGTTTGTCTTTTGTCATGCTACCAAAACATTACAATATTCAACGTCTGTCTTTTATTTAATATTCTAAACATATTAATCCTGTGACAAATCGCGCAAAATATAGGGAATATAAATTAAACATAATAAATTCATTTTTTTTGTTTTCTACCGGACTGATAAGTTTTCATTTCAGGAACAAAGCAGTATTTGAATCCTAAAGCAGAACAAACAATGTGGGTGGCGTTCATAGATCACTTGAAGACCTGTGACAAGTTGCCTGTGGTTGCGTTTACTCTATCTCGAAACAGGTAAATTGTACGTGGCGACCCTTTGTCATTTTGTTGTTTTGTTCATAACGGTAGACAACAAACATTTAAAAGTAATGTTTCAATCATCCCACTGCTGGGCACAGGCCTTCTCTCATTTCTGAGAATGTTATATAATAATTAGTCTGCCGCGCTGCCCCAATGCGTTGTTGAAAGACTTCACATGTCTTGAAATCTTTTATTTTTTAGACCTGCAGGTTTCCTCACGATGTTTTCTTTCACCGCCGAGCATGTTTGAAATCATCATTTAAATTTGCAATTAACAATTTCATCTGATAGTGATTCCATTGGTAGTTAAATATGTCATTTAAGATGTGTCTATATAGCGTGGTAATTTCTGGTAAAAAAAAAAATTCCATGGGTAGGCTCCATAAATTTTATCTGTAAATCTGAGAGTGAAATAAAATTTGTTTTAAATTAAATTACAGATGCGATCAAAACGCTGAAAATTTGATGTCGGTTGATCTAACAACGGCTAAAGAGAAAGGCCACATTCGGAACTTCTTCCAAAAGTGCCTACAAAGGTTGAAAAAGCCGGATAGACAGTTACCACAGGTATTTGATAGGATTCACATGGTCTCCAAAAAACGCTTTAGTCCAATAATGCTTTCAATGCAAATATTCCATTCTTTCATTTATTAGATAAGTTACATATTTATATAAATAAGAGGGTTCAATTTCCAGTCGTGTTTCTCTCCAAATTTGGGCTAGTAAAGAACGTTTCTTAATATTTGTTTTTAAGGTGATAAGAATGCAGAGAGTTTTGGAAAACGGCATCGGCGTACACCACAGTGGTATACTGCCACTGCTTAAAGAAATCGTCGAAATGCTGTTCCAATCCGGTTTCGTAAGTAAAACTATAGTTTTTAATGTTTTACTTTTATTATTATTATTAATATTAGAATTGATTAATTTTGTCTATGTATTATGAAGCCTCTGTTGTGTTGGTGGCATAAGAACAACTGTCACCCCATATTAACTTCAATATCATGTGCTTTTTATTAAATATCTTTGCCATCAACCTAAGAAAATGGGTAGACGACACTCTACTTATATTCTAAAATTACATCATCTAATTGTAATTAGCTACTTTTATAGTAATATTATTTTATTGGTTTTTCATTTTGGATTAAATTAGAGTTTTAATAATAAAAATATACAAAAAAAAAAATATTTTCATATAACAGTTGATGCGTCTGTTAGTTATCGTGCAACTTTTGAACATCTTTTCAATCATAATACTCTGGACCCGATAAGTGGCGCTGTGGTCGAATTGTAAAAAAATAATTATATATTTACACTTGCAATTTTATTTTATACGTGATAGAGCCATGCTGCAGGTATATTATAGTTGTAGCACGAATGGGTCGGCTCCACCGGGAAAGGACCTTGCTCACAGAATAATAGCGTAAAATAGCGGCAGACTGTAGTGGACCGGAAACCCTTTTTTACTGGATACGGGGCTTTCAATCTTAGTCCTCAGGGGAGACAACGCAACTGTATTCTTAATCGAGGATAAATGTAGATGTCTATGGGCCATAGCAACCACTTACCATCGGGTGGACTGAGTGCTCACTTGGCACTCTTATTCTATAAAAAAAAAACTGTAAAATGGCCGGATAGAAACTCATAGTGCTAGTTAACGGAAACTGGTAACAGGCAAAAACATTTCAAATACTTAAAGTATTTTTCTATGCACTAAATGTGTCACGTGTGACAACTTCTCTATTTTATTTGCAGGTGAAAATATTATTCGCAACAGAAACGTTCGCGATGGGCGTGAATATGCCGGCGCGAACAGTCGTTTTCGACGACATAACGAAGTTTGACGGCGTGCAGAGCCGCCATCTTATGCCCGCCGAGTACATACAGATGGCGGGACGGGCAGGAAGACGAGGTACATAACATATTATATTGTACGAGGGCGGCACTGAAAATTTCGGGAATCAAGGAAGTGACACAACATTACTATTTAAAAATGTTTCTATTGCTTTTCGAAGTATTCTCCGCGAAATTTGACACATTTTTCCATACGATGGAACCAATCATTGAAGCAACCATTCCATTTGGAAGTTGGGGTCTCCAAAATGGCCGTTTTGTAGGCGTCCACAGCTTCTTCAGGTGATGAAAATCTCTGTCCACGCAATTTATTCTTTATTTTAGGGAAAGTATAGAAATCATTAGGGCTTAGGTCGGGGCTGTACGGCGGATGATCTAATAATTCTATGTTTTCTTGCTCTAAAATCTCTTTTGTTCTGTGTGCGGTGTGAGAACTCGCATTGTCGTGATGGAGGATGATGCGGCGGTTGCAGTTCTCTTTACGGAGTTCAGAAACGACCTGTGGCAAACAAATGCTAGCATACCATTCTGCATTAACCGTTCTTTGTCCCTCAAGAGGAATAGTCGTAACATGGCTGGTTTTGGAGACAAACGTGGCCACCATTTGTTTTGCAATACTCCGTGAACGAACAATTTTTGTTGGCTTTAACTCATTTTCGAACACCCAAACTCGTGACTGGTTTTTTGTTTCGGGCTCGTACGCTTATATCCAGGATTCGTCACCTGATACGATTTTGTATACAGCATTTGAGGATCCTGCGTGGAATCTTTCGAGAGTTCTGACGCACCAAGTAACGCAAGCCGCTTTTTGCTCTTCACAGAGCGAATGCGGTATCCATCGGGAAAACAACTTTTTTACACAAAATTGTTCATGCAAGATTATTTGTATTTGACTCATGCCAATGTCTAAAGTTGCCTGATTTTCGCGCTATGTCACATATCGATCTTCCTCAATCAGCTTACGCACAGCATCAACGTTTTCTTGGGTGACTGCAGTTTTTGGACGACCTTGACGGGGATCACCACTGAGCTTGACACGTCCACATTGAAATTCAGCAAACCAGCGATAAATTGTGGTTTTGGATGGGGCTTCATCACCAAATGCAGAAATCATCCGGTCAACACACTGTTTTTGTGTTAAACCACTTCGAAAGTCATAATAAATCATCGCTCTTGAATTTTCTCGAGTCAATTCCATTTTCTCAACGACTAAACAAGTTTGACAAAACCTTGTGACAAGACCGAGAATCTTTTTTTAAATAAATAAATGGTATTCGATTTTTAAAACCAAGGACTTTTCAATTAAAAAGATTTTAATACGACAGGAAGAGTGGAAATATTCCATTCCCGATACTTTTAGTGCAGCCTATGTATAAAAATAATATAGGTCCCAGCTGTAGTAGATATCATGAAACCAACACTTCCTTTTTTCTAGTACATTAAAAATAGTTACTACCGTTAGGAATTTTATATTATTCATGATATATTTTCTGTATCGTTAAGGCGTGTTAAATTTATATTTTTTTTACATAGAAATTATTTTTATAACTCTAATAGGAGCATTGTCGCCTTTCTTGAAAAACAAGACCACCGCATTTATGCTCCACTCCTGCGGAGTCGCGCCATAATAGAGGACAGAATTGTTAAGCTAGTTTTAAAAGTGCTGAAGAACTACTCTAATTCCGAAATAGCTTCGGATGATACTTCTATTGCGTTATTTGTCACACTTTCGTGCGGCTTCAAAAATGACGTGCACGGCTGTTCGTAAAATCTCTCGATCTCGCTCAAAACAAATCGTCGCAATTTAAAGTCTTACATACTTGTAATAAAGGGCTGCTACTGTGTGTGCTGAAACAGTTGGAGATTTAAAAAGATAATAATGGTAATGTTGGACTGCTGAATGATCAAACAAATATTTCTAACTCACCTCTCTTAAACATCTTTAAGCCTGCTCTCTAATAACGGACAGCCTCGCAATACGGTCGTTCGTCACCCTCACGGTGATCAACTTTTGATTGCGTGGTTGGCCAACCCTAGGCGGGGTTTGTTATTAATTTAATAGCAGGCGCCTGCGTACGTGTTTTATCGCATGACGCAGTCGCTTGCTACTTAAGTGTGGAGCGCTTGCGTCGGCGAGTTATATAAATAGCAGCTGTTTTTGGTTAGCCTAGCTGTGAAACATGTATAGACTGTTACGAAGCTAAAGATGGTTTAAGACAACATTTCTGTCGCTATCTATCCCCTTATTATTTAAATTAACTATTTCTTTCTGCTGTCACAGGTCTAGACGATACGGGAACAGTGATAATCCTGTGTAAGGACGAAGTACCGAATCAAATCAAATTAAAAGAGATGATGTTGGGCACGCCTGAAAAGCTTTCGTCGCAGTTCCGCCTCACTTATGCTATGATACTCAGTCTCTTGAGGTAAAAGCATATGTAGGAAGTTATTTTAATGTAGAGCCAAAATAGAAAGCTTTAATCCCACTTCTGATGTGGGATGATATTAAAATGTAGAATTAACAAGGAAAAGGCTTAAGGCTGAGACGTACTTTAACTTTGCTCAGACTTTACTTACGAAAAACTTAGCTGAGTATATGCTAAGACCTAGACAGTCAAAAAATTTATGAATGCCACGCATTATGTTCTTGATTTTACTGTATAAAATTAAAAAAAAATTAATGCTTAAAAATCGAAAAGCAGTTCAAATAGCATTTCATAAATAAGTTATTATTACACGAAATAGAAAACGGGCGTATGAGAATCGGAGCGGATGAGAATAGTGCAAAATCAGAAAAAAAGATTTTAAAACATTCGAAATAAGTTTGAAATTACGTTAATAGAAAATAGATTAATGCTATTATAAAAAACAATTTAAAATTAATACTGTGGTTTTGGATAATATCCTGAGTTTTATGTAAGTCGTCGATTTCGTCGACTTACGCTTTACTAAGCGCGCAATCAGCACGACTTCGAAGTTAGCTCTATAAATACCGATATTGTCTTAGCTCGAATGTAAAGTCTGAGTACGTGGTGTTCTTTCTATCTTAGCTGGCTGTGAAGCATTCTATTTCGATTATCACGGCTGATTAGATAACACATTTGCAGCTAAGGGGGGTGAAAGAATAAATCGTAGGGAAATCTGCGTGTCTTAGTAATAAAATATTTCACGAACATGTGAAGTCCACTAATAGGCACTATAGCAGGGCAGTGGACTAATTCTTCTTCTTCTTGCTTCTCCATAACTCCCTGAGAAAAGAGATCGGTATTGTGCCCAGAAGTGGGAACTATATAGGCCGTAACTTTATCTTCACTTAATTATCTAATTTGCTGTTTATTTTTAGATTCCTCTAAGTAACACCAGGTTCCATCTATTCCAGAGCGGCGACAGTATCAGTAGAGGGCATGATGCAACGATCCTTTAGAGAGTTCCATCAAATCTGCCAAGCTGATTACCATCGGAAGCAGTTGCAACTTGCCGAAAAGGAGTATTCTGAGAAGTGCAGCACACCTTTAGCATCGCACCTGGCTCCTCTCGCTACTTTCTACGACACGGCGGCGGCATACATTGACGTACTGAATGACATTATGCCCATACTCCTCGGACAATCCAAAATGGTAAAGGAACTCGTGCCTGGAAAGGTACTCATGCTATCAGCAGGGCCGTATATCAATCAGCTTGGTATATTTTTAAACAGTAGTGGTAAGTAAATAAGTTTTTTTTTAAATACTAGTAATGCTATTAACACATTGTTCCCTTTAACCACTCCTGGTAAGCTTAAAATGCTTGTGTTTAGGAGTAGTTGACGACAGTAGTTGAATGGCGGGTTCGAATCCACGACCTTTTGAGTTCGCAGTCCACACCCTGCTATTTGGCTAGTGTCACTTCTAGTGTCATTTGTTTAGTTAACGTAACACTACAGTGATAACTAGGGCTTCCATTCCGTAATTACGTAATTACGCAGTTACGTAATTACGCAAAAAAATTAAACTTCTGACAAGTCCGTAACTGAAGGGTTGAAATCCGTAATTACGTAAGTATAAGTCCTTATTATCATCATCATCATATCAGCCTATTTCTACCCACTACTGCTAGGTGAAGGGTTTTAATAATAAATAAAAATAATATATAAATCAATTTAGCGACTTATTACATACAACATCCTCTTTTTTAAACAGTATGACATGATAACCCAGGAGCCAACATTGAAACAGAACGAGCGGGTATTTCCACGTAGAGAATAAATTCAAGACCCCATATGAAGCACCCCAAAAGAAAACTAAACTCACGGATTATTATGTAAGCGACTCTTCCATGGAGTTAAGAGTGACTAGAATGGCAGCATCGGATGGTATCCCGTTGAGCAAATTTTGTACTTCTGATGACCTAAGGCATATTTTCAAAAAATCCGGCTACGATCTACCGAAATCATCAACAACTATAACCAGGATAGTTTTAGAGCTACATGATAATACAAAAAACGAACTGATACGTCTTTTAAAGGAAATGAAGTCCCAAAACAAAAGATTTACAATGTGACATTTGATGAGTGGACCTGTACCCGAAATAAAAGATATATGAATATAAATATCCACAGTAAAGATCTCGAACCAGCTAATTACAAAAATTTGGGTCTGGTGAGAATAAAAGGTTCAATGCCAGCAGATGTAGGAACTCAGCTAATACAACAACATTTGAGCAACTTCGGACTTAGCCTCGAAGACATAGTTGCTTTCACAACAGACGGAGCCAGCGTAATGGTTAAAATGGGCAAAAATTTTGACGGCCACCATCAATTGTGTTTCGCCCACGGCATACGACTTGCGCTTCTCGATGTGCTATATAAGTCAAAGAACCAGTCAACGCCCAATCACAACCCAAAGCAACAAGATAAAGAACTGGATTACGACTCTGAAGATTCTGAAGAAAACTATGGAGGATTTGATATCGAAGTACCAAGAATTCCAGAATCTGAATTTCTGTACAAAGATACTATAAAAAAAGTACGAGATTTGGTTAAATCTTTTAAAAAGTCACCCTTGAAAAATGACTTGTTGCATAAATACTCTGTAGAATAATGTGGAAAGGGCCTGGATCTTATGCTCGACTGCAAGACTAGGTGGAACAGCTTGTCGGATATGATTGGCCGATTTTTAAAATAAAAATCAAGTGTCATGAAGGCATTACTGGATTTGAAATCAAATATAAATTTTACAGAAAAAGAAATCCAAGACCTGCACGATATTCATCATAGTTTAGATGTTATAAAAACAACTGTGATGTCTTTGTGTCGCCGGGATTCAAACTTATTGACGGCAGATGCTGCTCTTCAGTTTATGTTAAATAAACTTGATCATCAGCACAACGAACTCAGTGAAAGGCTTGTTATTTCCCTTAGAAAAAGAATAAAAGAGAGACGAACGAGTGTATCTGGTATTTTACAGTATTTGCATAACAATGAACAATTTTACGAAACCATATCAACAGAAAACTTCACAAAACTGACGTCAGATTATATAAGGACATATATTACAAGATTATTAGAAAGGCTGAAATTAACAGCTAACACAACGTCTGCACAGAAAAGTCAAAGTCCAATACAACAAATAAGCACAGGACATACTGACTCCAGTGATGAAGAGTTAACTGTAGCCCAGGAATTAGAAAAAGAGATATGTAAAGCCACGTCACAGGTAAACAAATCTACGGTTAACACAGATCTTGAGTCCATTGTTAGAGTGGAAATGTGCATCTATGATAGTGCTGGCGGTGGTCGTGGAGTTTACCTAACAGCAGCGTATAATTATTTACTATCAATTACACCAACAAGTGTTGAAGCTGAACGTGCTTTTTCTTCAGCTGGTTATCTATGTAGTAAATTAAGTTCATTAAACGATAAAACACTAAACGCGTTGTCGTTTATGAGATCTCATTTTCAGGAAAAGTCAAATAAGTAAAATAAAAGAGCATTCTGTTAAGGAAAAAGATCTCTTTATTTTGTTATAAATCTATCTAACCTAATTTATCTAATATCTTTGTGTTGTGGTTTGAGATTAAGTTATATGATTGGTATTCAATAAAAACTTTAGTTTAATCAAAGTTCTTGTACACTTCTTACATTACCTATTGCTACCTATAAAATAAAATATTCCATTTCAAAAATATCTTAGAAATTACGTAATTACGTAGTTACGTAATTGGACCACCAAAATTCGTAATCAGTTACGTAATTAACATATCCGTAATTTTGGAAGCCCTAGTGATAACGTATGATTCCATTTTAGGCAAAAGGCTGAGAAGTCATTTTTCGTGTTTGGTGGCTGTGTGAGAGAAATTATTACCCTATTTAACCCCGTGTGTATCGCAAGAGACGACTATGAGAGATGCGGGAAGGTTCTCATGGCTTCCAACACATGGCAATTTTGACCGACTCGTTTACGCCACAATTGCCACACTTACTCACTTTTCTCGCTGTCACATCGACTTACGCTAAATCCGAATTCGTTTGTTTTATTTACATACGTTATTTTTATTTACGTACCTTAAGTAAGTTTCCGAGTCCATCGAACCGTAAAAAAAAAATTTCATACAAATTGTAACACCCTATTCCACCCCCTCAGGGGTTGAACTTTCCAAAATAATTTCTTACTGGATGCCTACGTTATAAAAGCAGCTACGGTCCACATTTCAGATTTCTACGTCTAGTGGTTTGGACTGTGCGTTGATAGATAAGTCAGTCGCTCAGGACATCCTCTGTTATATATATAGACTAGCAATCCACCCCGGCTTCGCAGGGGTGATTTCTGGATCTCGACAACAGCACCACCTACCGGGTACCAATTGTGCATCTAAACCATCCAGAGACCCATTCAAACACACACAAAAAATTCATCAAAATCAATAGAGCAATTTTCGAGGCACAGAATAAATAATAGTACAAGAACAGAAGAATCGCTCTCTGATAGCAAACTTGCGAGTTTAAACCTAGTTACAACGTCACTAATGTTCATAATACTTTGCACGCCTCCGATGCGACCTTCGTTAAAATAGCCTATAGATTGTTGTGGTGCGCGTATTAAATCAAAATGCACCATACGTCCGTGTGAGAGAGTCTGTATCACTTAGCTCGTTACGCTCTCTTGTTAAAGGGTTAAGACCGCCCTATTGTAGGGTTAGGTGTTGTGGGAAAACAAATTGAATCCTTTGATAAGTATTAGTAATTTGTTGATAATAAGAACATTATTGTTCTATGTGAGGAGCGTTAATATGTAAAATCTAGAAAAATTAAGATAATAATAACGTGAACGTCTTTGAAACACAGATAATTTACCTACTTACCATTTTCTGTTTCACATTTTTTGCTATTTACAAATATGCGACACGTGACGACATTCTTAATGAAAGCGTGGCAATGAGATGTGCTGCTATTTTAAATATCTTTCTTTTATCGACCAAGTGTTTAGCTAATAACCAGTATATTATGCTGATCTTACATTAGTAGGCAGTAGCTAGTACTGTTAGGTCTACTTACACTGAACGATTATTTAAGGTCATTGACATTATACGCGAAAAAATCGAAAACTGCGAAGCTGTGGTTAGGTCGCTAATTAAATAATAAATCTGTAACTATGGAGTTGGTAACTAGATACCTAATTATCTAGATCTACCTATAAATAATAATATCTTACCTTTCGGTATCCTTAGGAAAGAATGAAAGTCGACATTCCTATTGTTATTTAAGCACCCGATGCTATGCAGTAACTTTGGCTTTTTGAGATGCCATACTTGAATAAAAACTCAAAATAAATATCCACAGTGCCTAAATACCTATAAGAGAAAAATACAATTTTGTTAACGTTCCTCACGGAATTAGCCCCTTGTAGGGAGCCGCGTAGCGCAGGTATATTTTCATGCCTAAAGCGTGGAGTGAGACAGGTCTGTCTTAGCGAGACTAACGAACAGTAATTGATTTTTATATATAGAGATTGTCCATCTGATGGTAAGTGCATACTAACGCTCATATTTCTTCTTTTTCAGCCCGTAAAAGTCCACTGCTGGGCATGGACCTATTGTAGGGAGAATTTGCGTTAATCATCACTCTATGCAGGCTGATTGACAATCGCAGTAGCACTAAACGTTTCGTATCTCGTATCTTAAACTTTTTTGATGGTGTTTATGACAGCCCCACTTCAAACAAAGAAGGTATCATATCACAGCTGAGGACTAAGATAGAATGCCTTACAGTCAGTTATTGTACTGGCCCTCTCAGTACCTACTAAAAATAATATAAGACCTAAAACACAGACTAGTTTCTTTCGGAGCAAAGAAGGTTTTTAACGTGGTAGAGCCATGTTGCAGCTATATTAAATGTATAGTTGTAGCACGAATGGGTCGGCTCGACCGGGGAAGGACCACGCTCTCACAGAATACCAGCGTAAAATAGCAGCTTAACACTGCTGCGTTTCGTATGGTGAGTGAAGAGAACCGGACATCCTTTTTACTGGAGAAGAGGCATTCCATCTTAGTCCTCACAGGTGACAACGCATCTGCATTTTGATTCTTTATTGAGGATAGATGTAGATGTCTATGGGTCACAGCAACCACTTACCATCAGGTGGACTGTGTGCTCGTTTGTCACCCTATCCTATAAAAAAAAGGTTGAAGACATGAATAACGATCATCAATACTATAATGTACACTGTAATGTTTACAACAAAATATTTGAATTGAATAGAAGGTTATACAGGTATGTTGAAAAATAAAAAATGGTTTTTAACCCCCGACGAAAACGGAGGGGTGTTATATGTTTTTAGTGTGTATCAGTATATATGTGTGCCTGTCTGTGGCATCATAGCTTCTTAACGGTTGAACCGATTTTGATGAAGTTTTTTTCGTTTGAAAGGTGTCTTAATCGAGAGTGTTCTTAGCTGTTTCATTAAAATCTGTTCAACCCTTTGAAGATCACCAGCTCTTTTGTTTCGGGAGTTTTTTTTTTTAATTTTTAATCTTTATCTTTATTTCTTTGACGTAAATATTATGCTCGCTAATTTCTTTATTTTCCCTCGTGTCTGTAGAATGTTGCAGAAAATTACATGTTTTTACAGGCCCTCGGCAAACACCGTACAAGGTCCTCGTGTTGAACACCGTCGAGCATGACCCAAATAAATACAATTTCGAAGTGGACGACAACTGGTATAGGATGCTCAGCTTCTCGGCTATGTACGATGCCATTGGTAAATTTGATTTGTAATTCCTAGTATCTTTTGTAGTTTTATATTATTTAACATTAATGCGCATAACAATAGAGCTGAATATTAGTAATAAGAGGCCGTATATACCTTGTTATGGACTTCTATACAAATCAATCCTTTAAAATGTTCCCATTTATATCTAATCTATATCTATCCTCGATTCAGAAACAAAATACAGACGCGTTGTTACCCCTACGGACTTAGATTAAATGCCTCATTACCATTAAAAAGGGTATCCGGTTCTCTGCATCCATCCAACGAAAACGCAGCAGCAATATTCTGCTGTTTTACACTAGTATACTTTGAGATCCTGGTCCCTGGTCAAGCCGACCCATTCGTGCATGTCATTCCATATGTCTGCAATACATATATAGCTACACCGTGACTTTACCATGTTAAACTGTGCTCTAGAAATTAAAAAAATAGTTAATTTTTGTTATCCTTTTCTTTCATATTTTTAATGAGACACTTTCTCAGGTACGGAAGAGAATACGATAGATCATACAATACTCTGTATTGCGCCTAAAAATATTATAGCGATCACCAAGATGACCTTCAAAATAGACCACAATCTGATCATTCAAGACTGGGAAAAGCGACAGTTTCCTAGGTACGTCCTAATTTTATTTATAGAAATTAGTTTACATTGCGTAATCTAACCAATTACAAATATAAATAATAATTAACATCAGGTCTGGAAGGTACCTAGTACGTAAGCCTTTTTGTGATCTACGTTCTTCCTCTTTTCGTAAGTTGCACTTTATTATACAAAATTTGAAATGAATGAATGTATGGTTTTTCGTTTATAAAGTAGATTGATGTTGATTTTTTTAAATGTGCTTAATAAAATATTTCTATAATTACGAACGTACTCTGCTAATGGAAGACAGTATCGAAAATTTAAAAAAATATATAAATTTGCAACCTAAATCCGTCTTAATTTTGGGCATAGGTTACTTTTATATTTAATTTAATTTGAAAGTTTCACTTCTACCACGTGTGAACTGCACACATGATTTTTTGTCAGTGTGTCTGTCTGTCCGGGCTAATTTTCGAACTGATTGTGATGAAACTTCACAAACAGAAAGAAAGCAATAAGAGTCGTCTAGGGTGTATTTTATCCGAAAAACTTAGATATTGTTTTTAAAAAAATGAACGCGTGAAGTGGAAGCTCTGCTTTCGTCTGGTGAGTGCAGGTGACCGGAGGCCCAATCCCCCCCCCCCCCCATCATAGACTACCCCAGGAGGGTACCGGCACCCCTGGAGAATCCCTCGCTGAGCATCCACGACCATGCTATTCCACTCCTGAGCGTGGGTGCTCAGGGGCAAAATTCCGCTCAACACAATAACTGCTCGGGGCAAACTGAGCAACAAGACCAAGGCGCCCTTGCCACACTATCCGTGAATTTCTGCAACATCAGGGGACTTCGCTCGAACCTAAACGGCGTCCACTACCATCTCGAGACGGCGAAGCCGGCCTTGCTCTTTCTGACCGAGACGCAGGTGTCCTCTCCGGCTGATACTTCGTATCTCTCCTACCCGGGGTACAAATTGGAGCACTCCTTTGTGCCTCGGGCTGGAGTTTGCGTATACGTCAGAGAGGACATCTGTTCTCGATGCCTTGGCAGTCTTGAAGGTTCGGACCTGTCCATCCTTTGGCTACGCGTAGACAGCGACGACCATCCGCGCATCTACGGGTGCCTCTATAGGTCCCATAGCGGTAATGCCGAAACAGACCGACTCATCGACCACGTCCAAATGGCTACAGATTCCTTGCTACAACAGGTCCCATCCGTAGAGATCGTGATCCTTGGCAATTTTAACGCCCACCACGCCGAATGGCTCGGTTCACGTTTAACCGATCATGCGGGGAGATCTGTTTATGACTTTGCCTTGGCATATGGTCTGACACAACTGGTTACTTCGCCTACGCGGATTCCAGATGTTGAGGATCATACACCTTTCCTGTTGGACTTTCTGCTGACCTCTCATCCGGACGGATATCAGGTTTCCGTCGATGGCCCTCTTGGCTCTTCGGACTATTGTCTGATCTGGACTGTGGTGCCACTCACGCTCCCCTCGTGGTTGCGTTCTGCAGGTTGCCGCCGTGTTTGGCATCACAGGTCGGCGGATTGGGACGGAATGCGGTCTTTCTTTGCTTCCTACCCATGGGGGCGGGTTTACTTCTCACCGGATGATCCCAGCGCTGTTGCTTACTATGTCACTGATGTGGTGCTACAGGGAATGGAACTATTTATTCCATCATCTGTGGTACCCATCGGAGGCAGATCTCAGCCTTGGTTTGGTCGCTCCTGTAAGACTGCATTACGCAGTAAGCAGGAGTGTTATCAAGCCTGGGCTGCGGCTTCGGCGACTCGGGATGTAAACACCAGCCTACTTAAAAAAAAGTATAACTTCACCTCCAAGTCAAAGTCAGAGCACATAGTCAGAATTGGCGAGAATCTAGTTCTCCTTCCTTCGGGAACCCGTGCATTCTGGTCTCTCGCCAAGGCTGTCCAAGGGAATTTCTGTAAGCCATCACTACCATCTCTGCACAGGGAGGACGACTCACTGGCCCACGACGCGAAAGAGAAAGCCGACCTTTTAGGCTCCCTTTTTGCGTCCAACTCGACTGTTGATGACGGGGGGAACACACCGCCGACCATCACGCGGTGTGAGTGCTCTATGCCGGATGTGCTGTTCTCACAGCGCTCGGTTCGCAGAGCACTCCTCTCCCTGGACATCCATAAGTCGAGTGGGATCCCCCCAATTGTGCTAAGGACGTGTGCTCCGGAGTTGGCACCGGTTCTAACGCGTCTTTTCCGGTACTACTACTCCCAAGGCGTAGTCTCGAAATCATGGAAGACAGCTTTTGTCCACCCGATTCCTAAAAAAGGCGACCGCTCAGACCCGTCCAACTACAGGCCTATCGCCATCACCCCCTTGTTCTCAAAAATAATGGAATCCGTTATAAACTGCCACCTCATGCGGTACCTTGAGGATCACCAGCTGATTAGTGACCGCCAATACGGTTTTCATTGGGGTCGATCAGCTCAGCTCAACCTATTACTCAAATGTCTTTGTTAATTTCCTACTTTTTCATTTTATATTAAAATAGTTTGAACAATGATTCAGGTTTTCTTTACAATGTTCAGGTTCAAAGACGCGCCAGTTGGTTCAAACTGTGCAAATGCGGTCCAGGAACTATCACGTTTATCTCACGCAGTGCGTACTGGAGCCACTACACTGGAGCGACTGAACCTGACGCAGTCACTCGCTATCACCACCGGTGAAGTATTAGAGAGCCTCGACAAAATGAAAAAATATAAGGTAATTTTAAGTTAATAATAGCAGACTATGAAGTTTTATAATATCATTGCATTGCTTTTGTTTATTCAACGAGTGAATTAAAACAAAAAACTCAACACTAGTGTTTATGTGATATATTTCAAATACAAATTTTAGGGAATGTAATTTCCTCATTAAAATCCTTCAAGTAATACATGCCCGTGTAGTGGCGGTGTAAGAATATCCGCTACCCATGTTATACCGTGGGTGACGTAAGAGGCGACAGAAGTAAACAAACCAAGGGATGGTCACAGCAGCGTCTTCCTAATAACAAATAAAAATAAAAAAAACCGCCTGCGTGGCAACTGTAGCAAATATCCCACCAGTTAGCACAGTTTAAAGACCTTACAGTTGTGAAACACCTTTGATGTCAAGCAACGCCGCCGCCCGCGTATTTAGGCGGCCAGCGTGTATGCTAGGGCTTGTCACGAAAATGAAAATAAAATCATTTTGTATATTATATTACTCATTATCATTTGTTAACATTATGTAGATACTTCTAAGTTAAAAACGTTTATCGAACAAGATCATTTTAATTACTGCAAGAAAAAACACATTTACAAGTGTTGCACTGACAAATACTTTCGTAACACTTTCTTTTTATATATGTTTTCAGTTTTCGATTGTTAAATTTAATTATGTAGTGTATTCGCATTCGAATTTAAATTTACTTAGTAACTCATAGAACTTATAACAGTAATTCACCATTATTTGTTATGTATCAATATCCCGAATACATCTTGAGCACTAGTCTTTCCGCCTAAAGTCAGCACTTCCGGCTACCTTACCTGCCTGAAGGGGGCACCCCATCACTGTTTTTGCTTTGTTATTTAAGCAGTGATGAGTACCAGGTCTCGTCATTACAGGGTTGTTTTTCGCGCCGTTCACAAGTTAGCCTTTTGTAAAAAAGTTTGAAGTTTACTAAAATTAAGTAGCTACCCTACTGAAAAGAATATGGAGGAGCAAAATGTCGTCGAAGTTACATTATTAAATTCTCAAAACGTGTGCGTAGCTTAGCTTAGTAGCGTAGTATTCGTGCTACAACTATACTACTAATATAGCTGCAGCATGGCTCTACCACGTGAAACGTAGTCAAGATCACGTTTTTTTATAACACCGTTTAAATAATTATTGTGAGGTGCATCGTACAGTGTGGGGTATTGGGCCACCTGGTTTATCAGTTTCTCTTCCTCGGAATCGGTGAAACTCATTTTTTGAGAAAAATTCAACGTGTTGTCGCTCGCGCGTTGGCAGCAATACTGATCTGCGGTCGGGCTACCAGTGTCGTCTGCCACTCGGCCCGTAGCGGAAAACGACGTGTCGCTAGCTACGGAAGGTATTTTATAGAAATACATGGATACCAGTAGTGTCGCAACGACACGTCGCCTGCTGCCTGCAGTCGGCTACGGAATTGTACCTTTACATACAAACAATTTATTTTTTTAGTAAGCAGCGTTGTCACATCGCTAAATCCACGTTCACACAAATATGACGATGGGAATGCTATCAAAAATCGTTGAACGATCGACCACATCGTAGACACAAGAAAAGATGATTTAAAATCTTGTACAACCGACTTCAATATAAATTATTAAGAATAACTCAAAAACTATTGGTCAGACCTTGATCAAATGTATATGGGAGCACATGTGAAGCACCAGCTTTAAAATAAAAAAAGTCATCGAAATCGGTTCACCCAGTAAAAAGTTATGAGGCATCACATAAAAAGTATACAGTCGAATTGACTACCGTCTCCTTTTTGAAGTCGGTAGAAAAATGGATCAAACCGTGAGTAATGAACATTTAGAAATTTTATCCCAGCAAATTTTTTACTAATATTATTACAAAATCTAGTGAAATTACATGCCAAAACCAAAAATAATTCCTTCACTTAATCTCAACTTGCACCGCCCTACAATAGAAGGTGGGGACAAAATAAACCAGCTCAAGCAATCAGATTTGAGTACCACGGTAAATGATCCTATTTATTCACATGCAAATGAAATACATTTAAAGAAATTAGTAGAATTACAGCGTTTTACTTGTGATGATTAATATGCTGTACGGTTTATCGATGTCCAGAAGAAATATTTATCTACTTTTGTTTTCGTTTGTTTTGTCGAACTTGCTGTAAATGATTCGTTGAAACGATTTGAATCTGCAATGTTACGTGACGATCCTCGCTCTTATTTGCTAGATCGTTCCTTCATCGGATTAACTAACGCCTTACTTTGCCAAAAGAAAGAATTACAAAGACCATTACAAGCACTACTAGAATGGGCCAGTGTTTCTCAACAAACATTGACTCCAAATTCATTATTAGATAAAATAGAGCCGTTATTTTCGAAGGAATCACCAAATAGCAAAGTAACTGAAGATTTATTTCAAATAGTTTGTGGTAAACGAGCGGATCTTATTAGCTGACGCCGAGGTTCATTACTGCGACAAATTCCTGAAGAATATCCTCGCGAGGTTTTGCAAAAAATCCCTCCTAACGTAGAAACTCTGTTTAACGACGATTCCATTCAGACCTACCTTCAGAAAATTAGATAAATTGATCACTTCATCCCGATCAATGCCTCTTACTCAAAAATAAATTATGAAAATCAAAAGCCATCGACGAGTAAACAAGCTGATGATACATTTTTTCATCGAAGCAATCCCTCGAAAAGAGGAAAACGTGCACTCTGCCAATCCAACCTAACGAATCGTGATAAATCTGGCAAAAATAAACAAAGAGGAAAGAAATCGAAATCGCATTTTTCCTTTAAAGATGATCGTGGTAAATGACTCAAAAATTTCATGGCGGCTGTCTGATGTGTTGGGATGCGCGCCGAAACAAATATGCACACTATTAAACGGCTCATACACCCCATTCAAAATCAAGCGGCCTCTAATACTTCCAAATCCAATTGCGATTCAGAGCTACAGGACCAAAATCACTTAAATATGACTCGCCAACTACAAAGTATGTTAAAGTCCGGTGTACTCGAACAGGCGGAGCCGAGTGCTAGCTTCCTTTCCACATTCTTTTTGGTGCTAAAACCAGACGGCGCTACCGTACAATATTCAATTTGAAACAACTGAACAGGTTCGTCAAAGCGAAACCCTTCAGACTGTTCAGTCACTTTCGAGTACCCACCTTCTTGCAGCATCAGGATCGGATGGCAAAATTAGACCTAAGCCAAGCCTACTTTCACGTTCCCATTCTCGCCGTCATCGAAGATACTTGAGGCTAAATTAACACATCAATTCAAATCAGCACCAACTGCTCCAGATGGCCTGCTTACCGTTTGGCCTTTCCTCTGCACCGAGAACGTTTGCCTCAATAACAAATTTTTTTTTAAATAAAAATAAAACTGGGTAGCAGAGTTTCTCAAGAATCGGGGCATCAGATGTGTAGTTTATTTGGACGATTTTCTATTGGCAAGCCAGTCGATGCAACAACTACAAGAAGATATATCATTAACGATAAAGATCACGAAGTTTCTAGGTTGGATAATAAATTTTGAAAACTCCGTATGACTCCGACACAGTGCCTCTAGTTTCTCGGCATAACATGGGACACAAAACGCAATGCAAGGTCCTTATCGGAGAAAAGTGCTTAAGGCTACGCAACGCACTTCAGCAACAGCTCTTAAACGGCAAGTGGTCCCTCAAACAGTATAAAATCTTAATTGAGAGACTTAATTTTGCCACTTACGTAACCCGGAGAGGTCGGCTTCACTATCGAACACTGCAATACTTCAGTCGAAAGTTGTCAAAGGCCCACCCTTACCCCCAAGTGAGTATTCCACTACCAGTTCAATTCGAGATGGAATGGTGGCTACAAGCTGTAGGTCAATCTATACCGATACACATGAATGCAGTAGTAACTCATCTTCTAACAACCAATGCTTCAGACATTGGCTGGGGCGCTCAACTCTGCGATATAAGTATCGGGGGACCTGGATGAAACTGATGAAACTGCAACTACTAACCTGACACGCAAACAGAAAAGAAATGTTCGCAGTTCATGCAGCGATATCACACTAATAAAAACTGCTACAGAACTCACAAATGCTTCTTCAGACAGACAATCGAACAGGCTGTCTTACTTATGCAAGGAAGGCGTGAGAAAGTCCAAAAAGCTTCTCGAGCAAACTCTACAACTACTTGCACTTCTAGACAAATTCAATATACACCTTCAGGCCCAGTACTTTCCAGGCAGATTCAATGTCGAAGTGGACGCCTTATCACGCCAAAAGGCTTGCCCCGAGTGGCACCTCACTACAGCGGCGACATCCAAAATATTTCGAATGTAGGGCACGCCGGAGATATACCTATTTGCGTCGAGTACTGCTCACGTGACGCCGAAGTATGTTTCAGAGAACATTCAGGACAAGCAAGCACAACACCACAACGCATTTTGTCATCAGTGGTACTACAAACTAAAGTGGTCATTCCCACCACACAATCTTATTCCCAGAGTCCTTAACCATTTGAATCAAGCCAGCGGATTATATATTAATTGCACCGAAATGGAACAAGGTGTTTAGGCAAATACATGTTCAACGTCGAGCTCTGCACCCTCCTTATCGGATTCTAGACCTAGTCCACACTTTAGTAGACACGAGAACAGGCATACACCCACCACAGATTCGAGACTTGCTCTTGGAAGCATGACTGATTTTAGGTGGCAAGATTTGTTAACAGAATGGACGGATAAAGAACAGAAATTGTTAACTTCAAGTTGGCGACGCTCTACGATCAACACATATAAACTAGCATGGAATAGATAGAAAAAATGATACGAGTCTAATTCGGTTAATTATAAATATCCTAACCCAGAGGGCTACCTAGAACGAGTAGCCCGTTATCTGGCACTTTTACATTCTAATATAGGTCTTGCTTACAGAACAACTTTAGTACATAAATCTGTGATTTAAATATTCACTCACTTAACTTCAAAAGTAGGTTTATCTTCAAATTTCTTTATAAAACATATGTTAAAAACAATATCTATGGCCCGTACCAAACCAATAAAGCCACCAATTTGTAATCCTAAGTTTCTTGTATAATATAATCTAAATGAAAACAATCTGTATGAAGTATCTAGGCATACAGTTACATTATTACTTTTGACTTCTAGTCTGAGAGTAAATCATTTACTTATTACAGCTAGAGGTGACGCTAAGCATCCCGTACTGTAATTGCTGGGTGGCTAAAATCGCTTTTGAGAGAGGCGGGTATTGAGGCTACTCCTGGTTCAGTAAGATCAGCAGTATCTTCTTTAAATTGGTTAGAAAATTTTTAGCGACTGGTAATTGGAAAACTGTACATAAATTTCAAAATTACTATAAAAAAAAGAACTAAAGGAAATTGAGATAAATAATTCTGTATCTTTATCAAATTATTTTAATGCCATTAATTGATTGATAGAGCAACTATTATATTAGTTTGATTTATTATTGTAATTAGTAAAAGCAAAAATTATTATAATTATGGTCAGTTATTATCAAATAATGTAAATCTCTTGCAATCATTCCTTTATTGTTTACCTTACACACTATAGCGTTAATAACTATCATAAGTTATTAGCACCAGGTGATAACAAACACGTCACTCAAGATCGATTCCGGATATTGATACATAACAAGTAATAGAGAGTTTTACCATAAAATAAAACTTACCTATTATTTTTTTTATTAATATCCGAATCCAGGTAAGGGCTACCTGGTGCATCATGAGTGACATAATGACGAGACATGGTGCTTGTCACTGCTTAAATAACAAAGCAAAAACAGTGATCGGGCAGGTAAGATAGTCGGAAGTGTTGACTTTAGGCGGAAAGACTAGTGCTTGACTCAAGATGGATTCCGGATATTGATTAAAAAATAATAGGTAATTTTTATTTTATGGTAATACTCTCTATTATAGATATTATATCGATAACTGCACTTAAAATTAGTTAAATAATTACTATTAAAACACGCTCGCGCCAACACGTTGCTCTGCGCAACTACATTCGTTTCCCAACTGTAAGGTCTAAAGGCGGCTGTTCACGTTGGCCAACACAGTGGCGAATGTATTGGCAAAGATATTAGCCAAGAGTTTGTAATGGCGTCCACACGTTGGAACGTCGTTAGTTTGCTTTGGTTCAGCCCAATGTGCGGACGAATTTATTTAAATTGATGTTGAGGCGCTAACAGCTGCTGCGGTTTATTTAATCACAGCATACCGCTACTGTGAATGTGTATAAGAAAAGGGTGATCAAAAAGAAGTGTAAAAATAGAAATTTTATTTCTTCTGTTCCACAAACAATTTTCGGCTTGGCATAGAGCTCTATAGACCGAAAAGTTTCTTCATTGGTTATTGTTACTGCCATTTTGTAGGCACCACTTTCGTCATTATGTTGGCCAACGTGAAGAGCCGCCATAAACCTAAACTGTGCTGTTAGGCAATATAATATGGGGAAGACTTATGTTCACCTGTGGACTTTTAATACCCTGTTAAGGTAACGGTAAGTGAAAGCATACACTGTTCATTTGCTTTTACTGATGTCATATGAAGAGAATCCACTACCCCAAGTGGACGGATCCGTTGCGCATTGGCTTAGCATTGCGTTATTGCGCTGAGGGCGGCAGGCTGAATTCCCGAACGGAACAAATATTTCTGTGGCCCACAAATAATTGTTCCTAGTCTGGTTGTTTATCCGTGTGATCTGTTTTTTTAACTCATTTTTGAATGACTTGGGGGTTGGAACGTTTTTGTATAACTACGTCCAATTTATTTATATAAACTGCCTCCTCGATACAGGAGAAAATCCTAGTGTGGAGGTAACGTTTATTCATTAGTCTTCTCCTGGATGTCGTATATGTAAACTTTAGCAAGAGATGGATAACAACATCTTTCTGGTAACACCTTAATAATAATAACAAAACTACGGTTGCCAACCCGCCTGAAAAATGTGTCAACTATGGCAAATATCCCCCTTATCAGCAATCTTTGGAAGAGGCCTATGTTCAGCATTGAACTTTTGGGTCGCTATAATTAGACATATAGTCTCCGTTTCCCCTTGTAATTGCGATATACTGATTCAGGATATCATCCAACATATTCGTTGACCACAACTGCTTTAGGAGCTACAAGCGAATATGATCCGGTATGAGCGAACCCTCCCTTTAAAAATGATTAAGTCCCGCTGTAGACAAAAACAAGGAAAAATTTAAGTTTGTTTAGTACCATTCATACTCGATTGGGTGTAAAATTCAACATAAATGCTTAAAATATATAAACTAGTCCCGAGAGTGCACCTTCGTCGTAGTCAATAAATAAGAAAAATTCTTAAACCTTGCCGAAAACATTTGCAATTTTGCAGTTATTTTTATATATTTTTTTGAAAATATTGTGAAATATGTATAGTTTAAAATATGAGTCATAGACATGGTAGCTCAGAGTTCTAGTAACACGCACTGGAGCAACGCGGCGCACAAATTGCATCCAGCCTATTAAATCCACTGCTGAAGATAGGCCTTCCCCTTAGATTGCCTCATTGGGTATATTTCTGCTGCCCATCTCCTGGTTTGTTTCCCTATATCGCCTCTTACTACACCCACGGTATGATATGGGGTAGTGGATATTTTTACACCGCCACTACACACGGTATTTTTGGTTTATAACCCCTCAAAACTGAGAGGTCTGTTCCCAGCCCAGTGGAACGCATATAGACTGTAACATGACTTTACTTCTGTATATTGTTCAAAATGTACAATGATGAAATTTCCAGGAAGAATTAGAATCTCAGAAAAAATCAACGGACATAGCTAATTTTAAGTCAGAGTTTGCGATAGTGTACGAACGGAAGCAAGCAGAAAGGAAGCGAGACAAATACAAGCGTCTTCTCTCATTTGAGAACTTAGCTCTTTATCCGGACTATCAAAGAAGACTAATGGTCCTTCGAGAATTGAACTATATAGATGAACATGACAGTGTGATCTTAAAAGGAAGGGTAGCATGCGGTATGGGGACCAATGAATTGATTATATCGGAATTAGTGTTCCGTAATGTATTCACAGACAAGAATCCTGCGGAAATAGCAGCACTGTTAAGTTGTTTCGTGTTCCAAGCGAAAACCAACGTTGAGCAACAACTGACAGAGAAGTTGAAGGAAGGAGTTGAAACCATGAAGCTCATTGATCAAGACTTGACTGCGATTGAGTCTAAATATTTGGTAACTTTTGTTTATCTTTTTTTCTTTTTTTTTCTTTTTTAAAAAACGTTACCCCCACACTAGGATTTTCTCCTGTGTCGTGGAGGCAGTTTACAAACATAAATTGCACAAGGACAAACATCCAGACCCGGAACAATTATTTGTAGGCCATACAAATACTTGTTCCGTGCGGGATTCGAACCCGCGGCCCCCAGCGCAACAACTGATTGCTAAGCCACTGCGCCACGGAGCCGTCAAATTAGTTTATTCTCTTTTATTTTATGAATACCATTCTCATTGCACGCCTCATAACGCGAAACGCAATTTTGTGTTCTTAAAATGCCTCTATGATAACCATATTGCACTTATACGATAATATACTAATATATCGAGCAAACACTAATTAATCCATCTTATATTTTATATTGCCACTTTGAAAAAACGGTTTGAAAAAAAAATTACGTGGACGTCCGGATGTTGATTTTGTATGTGGTCACGATAACTCGAAAAAATTGACATATCGAGACCGGGCTTTTTCTTCATTAACTTCAGAATTACATCAACTGATTCCCTATCATATCAATAGCGTAGTACGCGTAGTTTGTAAATAAAATGATTTTCAACTTTTATAAGTTTTATTGCTGTTAAAAATTAAAAGGCGCTTTCATATTTTTTTAGCCCTGGATAGGCAAAGAATAAATGTACCATACAGCCTATATTCGTTTTCATACTTTGTGTAATCGATTTATTTTGGTAAACAGTATTAATTTTTTCCCTGTAGGTGACACTACCTGTTAAAATAATAGAATTCAATTTATTTTTTCCATCAAAATTAAATGAAGCGCTCATAAGGCGTGCACTTTTGGATTTTCCAAACTATTTATATTATTATAGATAGTAACCTGCCAAAATGAATTCTGGTATTAATATATTACTGTAAAATGTATTATATAAAATATAGAATTTCTATTTCAAATGTCTGTTTGGAAATCCATCTAGGATTGGGTGTCCAGACTTAGCGTCTTAAACGCAGCCTTTCTGTGAATATTTCACTATTGACAACATTCAAAGTGGTATATACGTTGGCTAATGGATGCTACGAGATGTCTAGTTATATCATCTAAGGGACTGTTATAAAAATCATGCTATATAAAAACCTGTTAAAATCGGTATTATTTATTATGTAGCAAAGCAGACTTCTATCATCATTGTTAAAACTTTCAGCGTTTACGCATCTTTGACATTAATAGTCGTGTATAATGCTTTTGTCTTTTGCCGCTTTTCTGAATAATGCGGATCTGTATATGTGTATAGCACGCGTAATGAATTTCCATGTACCACTATTACAGAGACATTTATATTTATTACCACGCGACTCGATCAATACAGACGTATTTATGTACATGAGCACCGAGCATAAAGCGCGTATGCGTAATTAATTATTTATATTATCAACGAGCATGCAGTTCACCTGATTGTAAGTGGCAACCGCCGCACATATACAACTACAACACCAGGGGAATTGCAGATGCATTGCCGGCCTTTTAAAAAAGAGTAGGCTTTTTTCTTGAAGGTTGTATGTATTATATGGTAAAGTGGTATTTGATTCCACAAGGAAGTTGTGCGAGGAAGAAAACTTCTAAGTAAATCGCGCAGTGTTGGACTGCCAATCATCCAGATGTATCGATGGTTTAACGAATTTTGTCGCGATGTGCGATAGTGAAATTTAGCGGCTGATATATTATATTAATTTTAAAAGGTTATGAATTAATTAATTTATTTATTTCAGGCCAATGCCATAGCTTTGTAAGTAACAATTGTAACTTATATAATATACATACTTATATAGTACATAGACTTCCCCTTTTCAAGCAAACACCAGTGCATGCCAGCACTACTCAAGGTTTGTTCATGATCACCACACTTGGCAAACTAACTATTATAATTAGATAACTCAAAAAATATTGATCAGACCTTGATCAAATTTATACGGGAGCACATGAAAAGCACCAGCTTTCAAATAAAAAAAGAATCATCGAAATCGGTTCACATAGAAAAAAGTTATGAGGTAAAACACAAAAAAACATACAGTCGAATTGAATACCTCCTCCTTTTTGAAGTCGGTACAAAATTTAACATATTCCCTCTTTGATTACAAATATTTTAATCATGTGCTACGGAACATATTACGAATATCGATTAAAATCAATGTTGTGGAAAAAATTGCAAAAAAAATTATATTTTTATAGAATAGGGTGACAAACGAGCACACAGCCCACCTGATGGTAAGTGGTTGCTGTGGCCCATAGATATCTACATTTATCCTCGTTTGCGAATCAAAATGCAGGTGCTTTGCCACTCGTGAGGACTAAGATGGAGTGCCTCGTTTCCAGTAAAAAAGGTCCAATATACTACAAATAATATACTACATTTTACAAATAAACTACACCTAATTCATTATTTATTTTTAATCTACAGGTTGGTCAGTTTGAAGGGCAATCAGAAAGGCTGAATTTTGGATTAATAAGAGTGGTATACGAATGGGCTCTTGAGAAACCTTTTGCTGAAATAATGGACTTAACGGATGTCCAAGAGGGCATTATTGTGAGATGTATTCAACAACTACATGAGGTTATTATTTTTCTAACTAATAGTTAATAAATTATGGCAATAAATACAATAGATAGCTTTGATTATACCTAACCAGTATACATAGTACATACAGTTACATCAAATGAAGAGCCAATTTACAGTAGAATATTATGATAAAACAAAATTATGATAAGGATTTTTTTAATTATATTTTATTTTTTATAATATTTTAGCAAATTGCTCTGCCATAGCATCTCAAAAGCCTTTTTCCTATCTTGTAATCATCATCATTCATCATTACAGCCCTTCACAAGTCCACTGCTGAACATAGGCCTCCCCCAAAGAATGCCACAAAACACGGTCCTGAGCCACCTGCATCCATCGACTTCCTGCATGTCTTACCAGGTCGTCACTCCATCTCGTGGGGGGACGCCCTACACTTCGCCTACCGGTACGAGGCTGCCACTCGAGAACCTTTCTTCCCCATCGGTTGTCGGTTCTTCGAGCTATATGGCCGGCCCACTGCCACTTCAGCTTACTAATCCATTGGGCTATGTCGGTCACTCTGGTTCTACTGCGGATATCCTCATTCCTAAGTTAATCACGCAGAGAAACTCCGAGCATAGCCCTCTCCATAGCTCGCTGAGCGACCTTGAGCTTCCTCATACGGCCAGCAGTGAAGGACCACGTCTCAGTTCCGTAAGTCATCACTGGCAACACGCACTGGTTGTACAATTTCGTTTTAAGGTTTTGAGGTATGTCTGACGAGAAGATGTGTCGTAGCTTCCCGAACGCTGCCCAGCCGAGTTGAATCCGTCGATTGACCTCTCGGTCGAAGTTGGACTTACCCAGTCGGACTATTTGTCCCAGGTAAACATACTCGTCAACAACTTCGAGCTTAGTGTTCCCAACAACTATCGGCATAGGTGTGACATGGACATTAAACATGATCTTAGTTTTGTCCATGTTCATCTTAAGACCTATCCGTTGGGAAACACTATTGAGGTCATTGAGCATAGTGCTTAGGTCCTCCAGCGATTCTGCCATAAGGACTATATCGTCGGCAAATCGAAGGTGAGTGATGTACTCGCCATTGATGTTGATACCGTATCCTTTCCAGTCCAGAAGCTTGAAAACGTCTTCCAATGCAGCGGTGAAGAGTTTCGGGGATATGACGTCACCCTGTCTTACACCTCTCTGCAATTGGATAGGTTTCGTACTCTGGTTCTGTACTCGGATAGCCATCGTAGCCCTACTGTACAAGCACTTCAACACTTCGATATACCGACAGTCAACTTGGCACCGCTGAAGGGACTGCAGCACCGCCCAAATTTCGACGGAATCAAAGGCTTTCTCATAGTCCACATACGCCAGACATAGTGGCAAATTGTACTCTTCGGACTTCTGTACAACTTGCCGAAGGGTATGTATGTGGTCTATGGTGCTAAAGCCCTTTCGGAAACCGGCTTGTTCGGGAGGCTGGAAGTCGTCAAGTCTGCGCGCGAGACGATTCGTAATGACTCTCGAAAACAGCACGTAGACGCGGCTCAGAAGGGAAATCGGTCTGTAGTTCTTCAAGAGAGCGTTGTCACCTTTCTTGAAGAACAAGACCACCGCACTTCTGCTCCACGCCTCCGGTGTAATGCCACCATGGAGGACGGAATTAAAGAGCTTCTGAAGGACTTCAAGTACCGGTCTTCCACCCGCTTTCAGAAGCTCCGCTGTAATTCCATCCTCGCCTGGGGCCTTACCGTTTTTAAGGTGCTGGAGAGCCATCCTAATCTCGCTCAGACTGACATCCGGGATATCTTCGGAATAGTGTCGGATGAGACTCGCTCTTGGATCGTTACTCACACTTGCGTGTGGCTCCAACGATGATGTGTACAGCTGCCCATAGAACCTCTCAATCTCACTCAAAATCTCAGGTGTCCCGGAAACGATGCTGCCACATTCTGTCTTCAGCTTTGACAGTTGGCTCTTTCTGGCAGACAGATCTCTGGCAAAGACTTTGGAGCCTTGGTTCCGCTCGATCGCTTCTTCAATACGAGCTGTATTGAAGTTGCGTAAGTCCCGCCGCATGCATTTGGAGATCTGTCTGTTCAGATGCCTGTATGCTGTCAAGTCTGTTGAAGAATGTAGCTTCATCTCCCGTCTAACAGCCATGAGATTAAGAGTGTGATCGGAGAGTTTTTGTGTTCTTCTGCGGCGGGTCTTGCAGAACTTAGCTCCAACCGCATGGACAGTTTCCACGAGCTTGTCATTCATATCGTCCACTTCATTGCAGTCTTCTAGGCACTGAAAACGGTTTTGTAACTCGAGCTGAAAGGTTTCGGGACTTTGAAACAGAGCACGAGGGGGACGGAGCGTTGACTTCATTAGACGAGACCTCTCCAACTTAACGTTTAGGTTCAGTGTGCCTCTAACCATTCGGTGATCGATACCAGTTTTCACCCTCGCGATCACGGAGACATCACTGAACAGTTGTCGTCTGGTCGTCATAATGAAGTCAATCTCATTTTTTGTGGAACCGTCGGGGCTCGACCAGGTCCACTTCCTGTGGGGCCGCTTCTGGAAGAAAGAGTTCATCATAAAGAGTCCCTCTTTCTCCATGAAGTAGGCCAGCTGCTGGCCCCTTGGGTTCCGTGCCCTATTCCAAATTTCCCTACTTTCAGCTCACCGTTCTCTCTTGTGCCTAGTTTTGCATTGAAGTCTCCCATTAACACCGTATATTGGGTTTTGGAGGAATGCATGGCTCTAGAGATATCCTCATACATTTCCTCCACCTCCTCATCGGGGTGTGCCGAGGTTGGTGCGTAAACCTGTATGACCTTCAGCGAATACCGTTTGGTGATTCTGAGTATAAGGTACGCAACCCTCGTCGACACACTCCCGATTTTTACAACGTTGTTAACGAGAGACTTGTGGACGATAAATCCGACACCTCCTTGGGACAGATGGTCGCCCTCCCGGTGATAGAGCAAGTTGCCGGATTCGAGGATTACCGTGTCCTCCCCCTCTCTTCGGACTTCAGATAATCCTATAATATGCCAGCGCAACTTGTCTATCTCTTCTTCCAGCTTGCCAGGTCGAGTCGTCTAAGGTGGCAACCGAACCTCCACCGGAGATTCTTAGCACCCCCTGCCCCGCCGTTACCATGGTCGCCACCGTAGCCAGGAATAGCGGGGCCGGCGGGGACTGGGGGCCGTTTTTTTGTTGCTCTCATCATTGGGGGGTATTTGCCATAGTTGCCACGCTTGGCGAGCGGGTTGGCAACCGCAGTTTTTTTATTGTCATTTGGCTATTATCAGGAAGATGCTGCTGCCCATCTCCTGGCTGTTTCCCTTTGTCGCCTTTTACGACACCCACGGGAGGATATGGGGTAGTGGATATTCTTGACCGCCACTACACGGCACGTATCTTGTAATAACCTGACAAAACTTTAAATTTAAAAATAGTTATCGTCATTCTTAAATTGGATTCAAGTGCTGAACTGATTAGAAATATTTCATGCTTATTTATCCACAAAATTAGTAAACAACAAAGTTCTGCATTTTTCATGTTATAATTCTTCTTTGAATTCATAGTACCCTCATAATGGTGAAGATTTTTCCGTAATCCGTAAATCTACTGTGGTGTAAAAAAAGCCTTACATACTATCGGACTTACTTTACTTTTAGCCGAATTCCAATCTTGTAAATTACAGAAGTGAAAGTAGAGCTCGGATATGAACAAACCAGACAGACTAGACTCCTAACTTTGCTCAAATACTTTACATGTGAAACAATGAACATTTTTACAAAACCAACGTTTATTATATATTATACCTCATATTATCTTGTATGGTTTTGATCAGTCGGATTTTTCTTACAGTTGTTAATTGACGTAAAAGACGCAGCCGTTGCCATTGGAGATCCTAAACTGCAAGCCAAGATGATGGAAGCCTCGACTGCGATCAAAAGAGACATAGTCTTTGCTGCCAGCTTGTATACTACAGCTAGAGAGACTGTTGTAACATAGAAACTGCCGTTATTTTTATGCCAAATAATATATTTAAAACTGTATTAATATGTCTTTTTATAAGCTTTAAATATATCTTTTATTAAGAAAATACTGTTTTAAACGTTTTTATTAGCTCTTTTAGCTTTCTCTTTCTTATTTGTCTGTTCGGTACAGATTGTCAATCGATTTTAAACTAACTTCTCGAAGAGTGTTGCCTCAGTCATGATCATTACAGCCCTTCACAAGTCCACTGCTGAAAATAGGCCTCCCCCAAGGAATACCACAAAGCACGGTCCTGAGCCACCTGCTGTTCCCTCCGTACTTTTAATTTATTGTATCCAACCATGCAAAGAACAAACAAAGTTAGAAATATCAACGGATAGAATGGGCACATCCCGTAAAGTTTAACCTACCTAGTGAATTAAATAGAGGCGTGGTAGCTCAGATGGTTAGTGCTCGCTGTAAATTTCACAGTACGCGAGCAACCCGGGTTCGATCCCCACCGGCACCAATGAAATTGTTAATTGCAGTTTTAAGTCCTGATTTACCACGTGCTAGGTGGTGAAGGAAAACATCGCGAGGAAACCTGCATGTCTGAGAAATAGGAAAAAAAATATTTCGAAGACATGTGAAGTTCGCCAACACGCATTGTGGCAGCGCAGCGGACACTTCCTTGCCCTAAAACCCTCATAAAATAAGAGGAGGCCCGTGCCCAGCAGTGGGACGTATATAGGCTGTAACTTTAACTAAAAGTTAAAGTTACAGCCTATATACGTCCCACTGGTGAATTTATTTTGTACTCGCTCCAACATGAGATTATTTGCTTCATGTGGAGTAAGTAAAATTTTTAGTTTGCCACAAATGTACCCTAGGTTTCTATACGTTTTTTTATGTAATTAGTAAAAGATCAGATCAGAATTCATGTCACGGTCCAGATCACGTGTTGTTTGCATTCGCATTTATTTTATATAGTGTTGCTGGATTGGAGCCCTCATCCGCCCAAAGGACATCACTGAACACTTAGAGGTAACTCCAATTTGGTCTGCCTACTCCACTCAACCGCTCGGTCAATGTCTCTGATTATTAATAGCATTTTTACCCAGCATCTGTGACCACCTCTGGTAGATCATTAGTCATGAGAATCAATTCCAGAGGTCTCAAATTGCTACTCTGACTTATTCGACTCTAGTTTTATTTTTATTTTCTATAGGATAAGGGTGACAGGCGAGCACACAGTCCACCTGATGGTAAGTGGTTGCTGTGGCCCATAGACATCTACATCTATTCTCGTTTGCGAATAAAATGCAGATACGTTGTCAGCCGTGAGGACTAAGATGGTATGCCTCTTTTCCAGTAAAAAGGGTCTCCGGCTCTCCGGTTCTCTACACTCGCCGTACGAAACACAGCAGCATAATGTGCTATTTTGCGCTGGTATTCTTTGAGAGCGTGGTCCTTCCCCGGTCGAGCCGAAACATTCATACTACAACTATTCAATTAATATAGCTACAGCATGGCTCTGCCACGTACAAACGTCTAGTTGACAATGAAGAATTAAAAGTTATCGTTGAAGCGGATCCATCGCAAACCACGTCAGAGTTGGCGGCAGGCTTCGGTGTAAGTGATAAAACAACTTCAATTCACTTGAAACAAATTGGAAAAGTAAAAAACTAAAAATGGGTACTGTACGAATTGAATGAAGCACACCAACTAACACGCGTCGAGTGCTGGGTTACATTACTCAACCGTCACAACAACGAAGGGATTTTGAATTGTACCGTTACTTGTGATGATAAATAAATCCTGTACGATAATCGGAAACGCTCATCATAATGGTTGAACCCAGGAGAACCGGCCAAATCCTGCCCCAAGCGAAAGTTGACTCAGAAAAGATACTGATAAGTGTCAGGTGAACCAGTGCTGGTGTCACCCATTACAGCTTCCTAAGATCTGGCCAGACGATTACGGCAGATCTGTATTGTCAACAAGTAGAAGTTTAACTCCTCCCCTTAATATGGTAGGGGAGTTAAATCAAACACTACCCCTGGAGGGTACCAGCACCCTTAGTGATGGCAAATCCCTCGCTGAGCATGGAAGAGTAAAGTAGATAATGGTAAAGAAGTACCATTCTTTATTGAAGTTAAGTACTTAACAATTTACCAAAAACTAACGTGGAACTTTCACCTTAGCAAAGTACGTCATAAGGTTAAAATTCCTTTAGGTACGTGCAGTCGTATGGTTGGAAACAACTGGGGCCTGTGTCTCAATATGATCTTATGCCTGTACAGCAGCATAGTGAGTTCGATTCTTACCTACGCCTCCACTATCTGGTAAGTAATAAGTCCAACCAAACGACGACTGCGGACAGACTAAATAGTCTACAAAAGACTGCCTGCTTAATGGCAACGGGAGCGATGACCCTGGAATTAGGTAAAAATAAACTGCGGATTCTGGCAAGAACCCTGTTGAAGAGGCTGGACACTGTTGTCTTAAAAAGCAGATGTCCATCCTGGGACTAAACAAATCAAGGATGTGCCGCTTTTGTTCCGTAACGGAAGAAACACCTCTGCACATCCTATCTGATTGTGGACCCTTAATGCACAAACGTAACACTCATCTGGGAAAGTATGTACTTCGCCCAGAAGAAGTGAAATTGCTCACAGGTAAGCAACTCCTTCTATTAATTGAAGACATAGGGCTTAGCAGTGAACCATAGCCATAGCAGCAATCACAATAGATATATTAGGTCGCTGTGATACTAGTCTTTCTAGATCTACATAGCTGCTCGCACAAAATAAAAAATGGGTGCTCGGGCTGCCCTGCGTATTCAGGGAGAGGGAGAGGGGCAAATTCCGCTCAAGACAAACTGCTCGGTGCAAGCGGAGGAATAAGACAAAGGCGACCCCTGCCTCGCTTACGCGTACCTGGGGTACAAATTTGTACACTCCTTTGTGCCCCGGGCCAATGTTTGCGTATACGTCAGAGAGGACATCTGTTTTCGACGCTTCGGCAGTCTTGAAGGTACGGACCTGTGCATCCTATGGCTGAGCGTAGACACCGTCGACCATCGCCGCGTCTACGGGTGCCTCTATAGGTCCCTTAGCGGTAGTAACACAGACCGTCTCATCAACCACGTCCAAATGGCTGCAGAATCCGTATATCAACAGGTCCCATCCGCAGAGATTGTGATGCTCGGTGATTTTAACGCCCACCACGCTGAATGGCTTGGTTCTTGTTTAACCGCTCAAGCGGGTAGATCTGTTTATGACTTTGCCTTGACGTATGGTCTGACACAAATGGTTACTTCGCCTACGCGGATCCCAGATATGAAGGTACCTTCATGTACCTTTCTTGTTGGACCTTCTGCTGACCTCTCATGCGGACGGATATCAGGTCTCCGTCCATACCCCTTTTGGCTCTTCGGACCATTGTCTGATCCGTAGTACGGTGCCACTCACGCTCCCATCGCGGTTGGGTTCCGCAGATTGCCACCATGTTTGGCACTATAGGTCGGCCGAATGGTACAGGATGCGGTCTTTTTTTGCATCTTACCCTTAGGGGCGGGTTTGCTTTTCGCCGTATGATCCCAACATTTTTGCTAATTCTTTCGCTGATGTGATACTTCAGGGAATGGAACTTTTTATTCCATCATCTGTGATGCCTATTGATTTCTCACCAAAGCTGTCCAAGAGAACTTCTCTTAGCCATCACTGCCATCTTTGCAGAGGGAGGATGACTCACTTGCCCATGCCGCTAAGGAGAAAGCCGACCTGCTAGGATCTCTCTTTGCGTCCAACTCGACTCTCGATGACGGGAGAACTGACCGCCGACTATCCCGCAGTGTGAATGCTCCATGCAGGATGTGCTGTTTACACAGCACAAATTGCATGGAGCACTCAGACTCCCTCACTTTCATAGTTCGATTGGACGATAAACCGAAACCACCGGAGAGAGATCAGACACAGGACCAACGGCTTTACATGCTTTCCGAGACACTGGGGTGCGGTAACGCCTTTCTTGATGGAAAAACTCAATAACTGATTTTTGGTTTTGGCCCGACCTGGGACCTCATGATCAGCAATCGCATTACTACAACCACCAGACCAACGAGGCAGAGAGAGAGAGAGAGAGAGTTTGATAAGAGTTTATTAAATACAAAAACATGATTGCATAATAAGGTTGATTACAAATATTAATTAAATTTACAAATATTTTAATACACAGTGCCCCACCAGAGATACAGTGTATCCCATAAGCGGGGTACAGTGAATCAATTCCCACTTTTTTTTTAAAACTTGGTATCTATATAAAAACTATTTGAGATTTTGCCAAATTCAAGATGAAACTTTGATGAGACTGCAAAAAATTGTAATTAATCATCTATATACTGATTTTTTCATTTCATCTTTAAATAAAAGTGATTCACCTCTAATCGAATAGAAGATTAAAAAAAACAGTAAATAGGCATGACGTACATCAATAATTACGTACGTCAAGCCTATAGTCGTTTTGCGTCGTGCGTCGTGTATGATCTTGGCGGGACATACAGGAAGATGGACCGTGAATAAGGAACCCTAGCTGTTACCTGTTACCACAGTTTAAAGAGCTACCAGTTGTGAATTATCACGGGCGGCGTAACGCTAGGAGTTGTCACGAAATTGGGAATAAAATAATTTTGGATATTTATATTACTTATTATCATTTACATAATGTTAAATGTACCTACATACTTATAAGTTAAAACATTTATTGAACAAGATTTTTTATTACTACACGAAAAATACATTTACAAATGCTGTACTGCCAGATATTTTCGTCACACTTTCTTTTATAATGTTTTCAGTTTTCGATTTCAGTTTAAATTTAATTATGTAGTGTATTAGCATTCGGATAAACAATTTTACAAAAATAAACGAGGGAAAACATAAGCATGGCCGTCATTTGAATACAGAAACAGAAATCTTTTTATTCAATATAGATTATAAATAATACTTATTGAAAGTCACTCTTTTGAATTCAAC